TTTCTTATACAAAGATATCTATCTGTACAAGGCAATAATAAGTGCATATAAATGGTAATAAGTATATCAGTTACAACTGTTACAAAATGAATAATAATGTCCACAATAATGTTTTCTTTATAATTAATGTATAATTTTGAGGATTAATTCACAATGAATTTTGAGGATTAATGTTTAATTAATCATTTTATTAACACATGATCAACAATAAAATTATTTAAGTTTTATGCGGTGTATCTTACGGATGGGATGCTATAATTGATATAATATCATAATAATTTAAATTTGGGCAAAATTTGTATTGAGCAAGATTTTAATATTAGAATAGTAAACTTTATAACATGTTGGTTTGTTATTGAAGAATTTTGATGGCTCAACTAAAAACTACAAGAAACATAATAAGCAATTCTTTAATAATATTTGATTTTATAGTTTTTTTTTTTTTTTTTTTTGGAAAAATCAGGTGTAAATGGTTGGAGATGGTTTTAGGGTTAGGAGAAAACATTTTATATATGGTTTTATTAGGTTCGGGTTATAGGCTGCATTATTGGGTTAGTATTTGGACAGATTATTATTATTATTTTTAAAGAAAGAAATAAAGTTTGGATCTAAGAATTTATTATATTAAGTAGTATATTTGTTTATTAAATAATATAAAATAACGTAACATTTATATTGATTTGCTTTTTTATTTTGTAATTTCAAATACACACACACACACACACACACACCCACACACACACACACACACACACACACACATATATATATATATATATATATATATATATATATATATATATATATATATAATTTATTTTTATATTTATTGGTTAAGGTTTTTTTTTTTAAAAAAAAAAAACTCAATCATTTAATCATAAGCTGAAGCAATTACAAATAGAATCGATGAAACGGTATACCATTCCTTACAGTCAGATATAGAATGCTACGAAAAACTTGATTTGCAGACTGTTTCACAAATTTGAAGCTGGATTTGTTAGTATTTGTTAAGTTTTTGCTAACTTGAAAAATAATATGAATTAAATTCATATATTTTTATACTGTATTTAGTATTATTTTACAAACTTTCTTGAATGAAATTCATATAATTTTTATATTATATTTAGCATTTTTTATATCGCATGTGGGTTTGTTTTTGAGAAAGTCAGTCTTTAATCATGTTCAAATGTATATAGCAGTCTCAAGAGTAAGTAATCTAAGGGTATTAAACATTTTGATTTGTGAGGATAATGTACCATGCACCATCTGTGAGTACGACTGAAAATGTCGTATACAAAAAAGTTTTCAATAATGTGTAATGCAACTTCAATATTAATTGTTATTTAATAATTAAGTCATATAATATTATACTCTTCTTCTTCTTTTTTCACTACTGATACTCTTTGTACTACATCATAGGGCTATTTTGGCTCCAACATTGGATGTGGTAGATAACATTAATCAATACATGAATGATTATAATCAACTGAAGGTAGGACTTATTTGAGCTATGACTCTGTTTGTAAGTCCAATTCAAATGTAGATATGTTACCGGATTTGCACACCCTAGAATTCTTGAATGGTTTGCGATGCTTTGGCGGACCGAACCATGTTTTGACTTTGAAAGTGGGTTCACCTATTATGTTTTTGAGAAATATTGATCACACTCTAGAACTATGTAATGGTATGGGGTTCATTGTTACAAGATTGGCTGATCACGTGTTGGAAGCCTAGATCAAGTGTGGTACAAATGTAGGAACAAGAGTCTTAATTCCCAGAATGTCACTAATACCGTTAGATCCAAGAATACCTTTCAAATTCCAACGAAAACAGTTTTTTTCTCATGCTATCTTATGTTATGACAATAAACAAAAGCCAAGGAAAATGACAATAAATAAAAGGACAAACACTCTCAAAAGTGAGATTATTTTTTAAAAGGTCCGTCTTTAACCATTGCCAAATGTAGGTAGTTGTTTCGAGAGTTAGTAACCCAAGGGGTTTAAAAATTTTAATTTGTGGCGAAAATGTACAATGTCTAAGTACGACTAAAAATGTTGTGTAAGTCTTCAATAATGTGTAATAAAATTACAAAGTTTATCATTTCAAATTTATTACGTTTTAAAACTTTATATTTTTCCATCTTATTATATTATACTGTATATTCTATATACTATATATATAGTCGTGCATCGCACGGGTGCAATTACTAGTTATAATTAAAGAGTGTAATTTCATCTATTGATAAGGCTGGTAAGAATATGCATAATCTAGCCTTTGTCTATGATGAGAATTACCCGTCCCTGCCTGCCTCCTTTAATCTTTATTTTTGGCTCTCTGGTCTAATCCTCATGTGACCGCCACAAATACTTCTACCTTGGTTTTGTCTAGTCCTCGGGTGGCTCAGGTTAAATTGAGGATTGGAGATCGCCATTATAAGTTCAAGTTCCAGGATCCAACTATGAAGACTCTGAGAGAAAAAGGCATTGAAAACTCTTGAATTCAAGTATAAAGATCAAGATGGTGGGGTAGTGGTGGTAAATTCTGACACATACCTACTTTATTGCTCAGAGTACTTCAAATTGAACATCGCGCTTCAATCAATTTAGCCCTCTGTTGTAAATGAACGATTTATAGAAATTTATGATATCAGGTTTTCCCTTTTAGTATTTTTATGTATAGGTATGGTGTGTTTTCAGATCAAGCAAAGGACGAGATCTGTAACATTTGCTTAAAATCCACTTTATTGTTCCTTTCTACATTATAAATTGAGTTAATTCCAGCAAGGGTCCTCCGACTATTGTGATTTTCCAAAATTGGTCCTCGTCTTTTAATTTGGACGAAAAAGGCCCTTGACTATCACATTTGTTCCCGTATTGGTCCTTCTGTTAACCTTCCGTTTGTTAGGCGTTAGTGTAGGGGCTAAAATGGTCACCAACAGTTCAAACTGGATCCGGAACCGTGAACCGGCAGTCCAAAATCAAAACCAAATCGCGGTCATATATACTTATATGTGAGAATCAGAATAAATGTAAAAAAGAACATACACTATTTGTAATATTATAATTCTAATTTTAAGCTAATCTAGTAGTTGTTCCGATTCGAACTGCCGGTTCACGGTTCAGGATCCAGTGTTTTCGATTCATGATTTTAATAAATTGAAACCCAAATATTGGGTTCTGGATCTGAATCATAACCAGAAATTTTTGATTCGATTGCTATAGTTTCCAGTTCAGTGCCAACCAAACCGTGGTCATCCCTACATATAAACAATAATTTGTTAGATAAAGCCCGTATGGGTAGCTCAACTGGTCATAGAGGTGAAACTTTGGAAGAATGACCAGGGATCGAGTCTCACCAGCGGTAGTGTGGGAGCAACCTCTCAAAGTGAGGGTAGCCTCTGTGGTTCATGTTCAGTTGAGTCATCATGATTTACATCCTCCTAAATTCTCTGTCGGGCCGGGGGGGGGGGCCTAGGGGGGGGGGGGCCTTAGGGTTGGGGTTCTTCCTTTGGAAGAATAATTTGTTGGATAAAAAAATAAATAAAATGTTTACTTTAAGGGTAGAAATGTCACCAAGAAGTGGGCAAATTATTGTGTCGATCATGATCCACATAGTGTTGTATGAATCATAACAAAAAGTGCATTTTTTTAAAACCAAACTCAAGTTTCATTAAATCAAAGCTGAAATATAATGAGGCGGGACAACGTTCCAAACACCACCTAGGACAGATTCAGAATCAGTCACCCGTGCTAATAACACGTGTATGAGCTACATGATTCACTGACTTTAGAATATGGCGGATAGACACATCCCCAATATCCCTGGCAATATCAACACGTTGCCTGATAACCACACTAACATAGGACAAGCAAAGGTTCGAAGAATAAAAGCTATTACAGAAATTTAGACAATCCGTTTCAATAATAATCTGAATAATCCACGAGCCTTGATCCATGTTAAAGCTTCCTTTATAACTAATGCTTCGGCCAAGTAAGGATCTCGACCACAGGGTAAACGAGTTGCATAAGCTGCTACAAACTACAAAGGCACCAAGATGATCGCAAATAACCACACCATGTTCTCATGCATGTCCTCCTTGTTGCCACTGAAAAACCAGCTGCGTAAGATTCTCTCTTAGCATTGAAGGTGACCAAGTTTTATCATTCCGTAAGAAGTGCTATAATAAGGCCAATAACACAAATTATAGTGAATTATTTAAAGAATCATATCGTTAATTATATAGTTTCTTGAAGTGAAAGTTACTCTAGAGAACTTCTTATTGGTCTATAAAAATTAATGTGATTAAGAAGATCTTCGAGATTAATGAGCTAGCACGTCAAGGAGCGCGTTAAGTGTCTATATAAGGATCTTAGTCACTGACACAAATATCATGAAGTTTTGAATGTATTGTTACACTGCAAAAATTTGTTTCCTATGAAGTCTTCCTACTTTATTCCATTAAATTGTGACTTATGAACCCAACTACTTTCAACTTTATATGGGCAATTATAACAATTCATGCAAAGAGAATAATGAGATTTAATTTTGTATGAAAAAGAGAGTTCTATTGAATAAGAGAATATCCCCATACTCTTCCAAAGTTTTCTAATTTAATAACCCAACATTCTTGTACTGATCTTTATCCAAAATTAGTCCAAAACCAAAAAAAAAAAAAAAACAAAAAACAAAAAAACAAAAAACAAAAAAAAAAAAAAAAAACAAAACAAAACAAAACAAAAAAATCCCAAAACAAAAAAAAAATACAAAACAAAAAAAAAATACAGAACAAAAAAAAAAAGTATATATACCTTTGGCTCTAACTAATACAGTACAAAGTAAATTTGATTTGATTTCTTCTCAAAAAACATGCCAATTCTATAGAGAATACAAAAAGTAGGTAGTTAGACAACCATAAATTTGCCAAAACTACACATCCAAAAAGGTGACAAAAATCCAAAGATAGATTTTCAGAAAACTAGAAGTGATCGAGTATGTATGCTCTCAAATCTCAACCAATCAATCTTTGTGCTCTGCCGCAACTGCTTTTAACTTCTTTTGAAGCTCTTTCTCTTCATCACCAACCAGTGAGTCGTCCAGTTGTCTTCCATCTTTGAGGAAGAAGAAAGTGGGAGTGGCTTTTATATCCCATGATGAGCTAAACTCCTGCACCCAAAGTTTTCATACATACAATGTGATTAAGCTTTAGAAACGTGGTCCCTAGCGGGCGTACGTACACCAGGTAAATCCCGTCTTGTGACCGATTCAAACTAAAAAGACCAATAGACCTCTCTTGTTGGTCATAGAATTTGTAACACACTAGCATGGTGGCATGGTGGGGTTGGCCCGAATCGCGGTCCCCTCGTGTTCTAAGCAGGCCCTAATTGTAGGAGGCATCTTTAAGCGCGTACCATACTCAGAATAATCCCGATTCACACAGGGCCAACCCAATTAAGGGACAAATTAAAGTGCTGGCCAGATTGATTTATCCATACGAGAAGGGTTCGAACTCCCGACCTCTCTTAAGGGATAAGAGTGTACGGCCACTCACGTCAACCAAACTGGTTACGGTCCCTTTTGTTTACGTGTTAGAATAATCCCGGCCCCTTTTGGGTGTTGAGGGAAACCCAAAATCACTATTCGAGAGTGTGGGGCAATTAAATCTCGCTTTGTGACCCTAACCGATAAAGGACCAGCCTAGCTGCCTAGATTGTTCATTGCTGACGGGCTCAAACCAAAATGACTAATATGTCTCTCCAGTTAGAATTGAAGTCAAACTTGTAACCTTATGATTACAATCTGACCTACTTAACTAAAGTTGTTTCTGAATTTTTATTGAACTCGATCTTAAATAAGAGTTTAAGTTGCATGCTCACCCCTAGCTCATCAATGTCCACGGTTATGAACATGAACGAGGTGTGCTTATCAGCAAGTTGGCGATAAATTGGTGCTGCTTTTCTAGAATGGTTGCACCACGATGCACTGAAATTTACAATCACCTGCACGACCAATAATACAATATTGTGAGTAGAGCATGCTACGAAGTAGTCATTTTGATCCTTCAATTGTCTACAAAGTGCGGGGAACTTACTATCTTGTCATCTTTGTTAGACTCAGAAATCTTTTCGTCCCAGTCCTCTATGGTAGTCACGAGGTGGACATTTCCACCTCCAAGCTCTCCCGAACCACTTGTATGCTCCTCGTTGCCTTGTCCGCATAACTATACACAAATTAAGTGTTAAAACGGTACAAAATATTTATTCTCATCTATACTCTCGGTAAAAACTGATCAAACTCATCCCAATCTGGATAATCTTCATTTCTATTTTGGATTCATGACAAACAAGGTAAATCACAAGATATACTAGCCAAACCGACCTCTTCTTATTCGAATTCATCAAACTAATTGAGCTATACTCCTAAAAATATCCTATACAACACTTCTCGTATTCTAAATTATAATATCGTATTTTCTTTGTATAACATACTCCCTCTGTCTTATTTTGTATCTGATTCGATTAACGAGACTTAAAAGAAAAAAATTAATTTAACCAATAAACAATAAATTAAACAACACAAATAAAATAGGACATGATAAAGCATATATTTTGAAAGGTGATATAACAAAAGTACTATTTTATAATAGGCACCATACCCTAGCCCAGCACTGTCCCATGGAAAAGGATGGACTATGTTACCGAACCGGGCCCGGTGAAATAGGGTGCGCCAATGACCCCTACCTAAAATGTAAAATAAACAATAAAAGTTTCCATTATAATAGAATATAATCAGACAAAAAATGCAATTATATATATATATATATATATATATATATATATATATATATATATATATATAAGAGAGCTCATATGTGGTCATGTCATTAAGTGTGGCGGTGCATGTGGTCGTATTGGATCGTTGAATCAGGGTAATCTAACGGCAGTGGCTAATTACTGAGGTTTTGAGGTTTTAAGCGTGTTTTGGTAAGTAGGGGTGTTATGGTAATTACAGTGACCACTTATAGCGGTCGGGTTCCAGAAATACACCAACAATGTTGACAACATGCACCAATAGTGCAATAAAACACACCACAGTGAAACACACCAATGGTGTATTCCCGAACACTGTATGGTGTATTTATTCATATCTAATGGCGCGTTTTTGGTGATGCGTACCTAATTTGTGTATGTCTTTTGCTGTGCATTTCATAACATGGATGGTGTATATTTGTATAACAATTGGTGCGGCTGCATTGACCACACGAGAAGGCGTTGCCGCACCTGAACTTGGCACCAATGGGAATCTACAAATACACCAGAGTAAGGCTAATAATGCACCAATTACACAAATAAAACACACAACAATATGATTTTCCCTATTTCGATGCCTTATGACGAGTTTACCCTTGCAGTTCGCTGGGTAGGAGAACGTGCGCAAAAATACTAGAAGAATCTTGATTAATGTGATTCATTGGATCTATCTAATCTAATGGCATGTAATTGACCATATGACCACACCTAACAGCATGGCTGCACTTGATCTCCCATATATATATATATATATATATATATATATATATATATATATATATATATATATATATATAGTCTCATTCAGGTGCAAACCAGCCTTAAGGTGCGAACCCGGAAACTATTGAAAGATTGTACCGCAACTACTTGCACCGGGCACAATTGCACGGTAAAATTTTCTAGCTGGTATATTTGGGAGCCGTTGCGGTGCAAGGAGTAATTCGCATGTTAAGACCAATTCGCATTTGGACGCTAATATGTGTGTGCGTGTATGACAACACATGATCCATACACAAAAGCATTGCAATATATACAACACAAGTTATGAAAAACACATAATTATTAACTACTTTTTCGATCATTTAAGGAACGTATGTCAAAAGTGATCAAAAACATGTTTTCAATCATTTTGAATAGTCGAAAAATTACAAGATTTTTAGCAATGTATATACATAAACAACATGGGAATAATCCAAACCTAGAAACATGAAACCATGGAGATATTGGTGTCTGCATACAAGCTAGCATGGCGCCATGAATTCCATTATTCAACAAATTGGTGTAAAATTTGCATGCAATTCCATGAAAAGTATGAATGAATATAATTGAAGAATGTGGATGAGAATGGGAAACAAAAACCAGAAAACTTTTGGGGAAATTATGAAGATCGAGTTTGATTCCGTACCTTTCAATAGGGAAACCAAAAAAGGGTCAGAGGTGAGGAGAAAAAAGCATTCTGAAAAATGGCTCTGATTTAATCAATTTTAATTTGTTACAATTCCTCCGTATAATGTGATTATTGAAAATTTTATGTCATATTATTAAAAACAAAAATAAAATGTAAAATCATTAAATAACATCAAATGAATTTTTTGTCCAAATTTAGATAACCTGAACCAAACGCCCCCTAAATGAATTTTTTGTCCAAATTTAAATAACCCAAACCAAACGCCCCCTAAATGTTTTAACTATTTTTTGAACTCATTCAAAAAAAAAAAAAAAAAAAAAAAAAAAAAAAAAAAAAAAAAAAACTATTTTTTGAACTATCCTATTGTGTAGTGTATGTGCGACATAGTAAAAATTCTCATAAATAAAGCAAATTAAAGGGTATGGTTGGGGTTAATATTGATCACCAATTCACTTTTATAAATAATTATTACTAGTATTTTTTTATGCCCGTGCGCAAAAAAATAGGTGCCCAATATTAATACATTATATTAAAATTTTAAATTTATTTAAATTTTAGATATTTAAATTATTCTAAATAATAATAATAATAATAATGTAAATCATTTTTATAAATTTGATATTTATATTTTATGTAATAATTGACATATAACTCAAATATATAATGTTTATATATTATTAATAATGAATAAGATAAGAAAATATATGGTGGATGCATGTGCATGGTAACAATAGCGGAAAATATAACGGAGTTATAACGGTAGGGGTATGTTTGTTCAAAATATTTTAATGTACAACCTTTATAGCATAATGTACAAAAAAATGACATAAATCAGGGGTATAACTATCATTCACACATATTATGTTTTTTTTTTTGTTTTATTATAAAGAAGGGGATACCCTATATATAGGGTCTACTTACCTCAACCGAGGTTTGAACCCAACCTCCTACCTAGAGGAGCAACTCAATATCAGTAGACTACAAGCCACTTACCCTACTTATTATGTTTTTAAATTTAGATTATTCTACTTACAAAAATGACGCCACTATTTTTATTTCTAAGACGTACTAAACACAATATTGGCCCAGTTTGGTAAGATACTAATATAGCAATTATTATACCATGGATCAGGGTTCATATTGTATTGTGAATCCTGATACAAAAATTATGTACATTCAGTTAACAAATTTTGTACCTACAATTAACAGTTTCTGTACATGTAAACAAATAACTTGATAATTGCTGACACATAATATGATAGCTACATGTACAGAAACTATCAACTGCATGTACAGAATGTGTCAACTATAGATACAAAATCTGAAAGTTATTTTTGGACCAGGGTCTACAATGAAAGGTAGACCCTGGTCCATGGTATAATTTGCCGGTAACATAGTTAGTTTATCAGTCAATTTTTGCTTGTTTAACCACTATTAGCTGTTTGACTTGGTTAAACATTTAATATAGACCATGTTTGGTAACTAATTAGCTTATAAACCAATTTTGACTTGTTTGACCACTATTAGCTGTTTGACTTGGTTAAGCAGCCAATATGAGTGTTTGATTAATTAACTTTTTGTAACAACATTGCTTCAAAACGCTAAAATTCAAAAAGGTAATCAAAGTAACTTTTTCGATTAGCTTTTTGAAAAAGTCATTTTGTATGTATTCAGCTATCAACTAACAGTTAATTTACCAAACACTTTTCTACAATCAACTAATGCTATCAACTAGTTGAACTCACTAACTCAATCAACTAACAGGTATTTACCAAACACTCCCATAAGTGTTTGATTAATTAGTTTTTTGGAACAACTTATTGCTCCAAAACGTTAAAGTTAAAAACGTTGCTCAAATCAGTTTTTTCGATCAGCTTTTTGAGAAAGTCATTTTACATGTATTCATTTATCAGCTAACAGCTAATTTACCAAACATCTTTCTACAATAAGCTAATGCTATCAACTACTTAAACCCACTAACACAATCAACTAACAACTATTTACCAAACACATCCAGTACCTTTTTTGACATTGTAGAATTTTTTAAAAAAATTATTCATACTCGATGCTACCTAAATAAGAATAAGGGATATGATAGCATGACTATGTAACATCAAATGTAAAATTGGTTCTCTCTAAGGAATTACTAGTTTGGATTAGAGAGTTAAGTCTATGTAGGCTATGCCCGACTATACGGCAAGTTTTGGTTGGACAGTTAGTTAGGTAATTATAAGGCTTCAAGTTAGACTCCAACAAGAGTTATTTATTGATTTAGGTTTGTATACTTCTTGAGTCACAAGGCGGACTTTACCCAATAACTTTCAAGTAGGGGTTGCAGACTTTTTGGTAAATCAAAGGAAGAGAGAAATTTCTCATTTATGTCAGCTGATTGATCAAACAATCTACAAATGGCACAATAGGGAATTGCATAAAGATATGCAAACATGAAAGAACATCTAATGGAAACATTAAACAACATTATAATCTAAGGAAGCATTAAGGAAAGTGTGCAACTGGTCATTGCAGATTCATGGCAAATTCACTCAGGGGTGCCTCCATTGTTATCATCTGAGGATGGCTGTGGCTCTGTCTCTGTCTCTGCGGGCCCGCGAATTCCCTCGATAGCTCGAACAACCTCTGCCATCGTCGGCCGCATGTCGGGCGCCTTTGCAACGCACGACAGAGCGATCTGAAGCATCTGCACCATCTCCTCTTCGATGTTCTGATACTTCATCAGCTCGACGTCGAACACCTCGGCTGTCCACTCCTCCCGAACCACGGACCTCACCCACCTCGGCAGATCAACAACGTCGTCGTGCCCCGCCACTGGCACGGCCGACTTGCCCGTCAGCATCTCGAGGACCACCACCCCGAAGCTGTACACGTCTGACTTCTGTGTGACTCTCCTCGTTTCGACGAACACCTCGGGTGCCCGGTAGCCAGGGCGTCGCGGGCTGGTTGTAGCGGCATTGTTCATCAGAGGGCATAAGCCGATATCAGAAATGCAGCCATCCATGCTTGTTGTCAGAAGTACATTTGAGGATTTGATGTTGCCATGAGTGAACTTAGCTCCACCTTCTGAATGAACATGAGCAATACCCTTTGCTACTCCAATCGCAATCTTCAATCTTGATTCCCAATCCAGTTGATTTCGACCAGTACCCGGATTACCTGTTACAGTAAACTATGTTAGGATCAAACGCTTATCACTACGTCTAGTGTTGTAAAATTTGGCCTAGGTGGCCCTAGGTCGAGGCAATTTCATCCCAATTGTTATATCATGGACCAGGTTTTATATTGCATTGTGAACCCTAATACAAAAATTATGTACCTTCAGTAACACATCATATACCAACAAGTTAACCATCTGTACATGTAAAAAAAATAACTTATAATTGCTGACACATAATATGATAGCTATAGAGAAACTAACAACTGCTAGTACAAAAACTATAGATACACAATTTGAAGGTTATTTTTGGATCAGGGTTTACAATGCAAGGCAGACCCTGGTCAATGGTATAATTTGCCATTTCAGCCCAAGGTGGCTTTTAGTCCACCGGTACAGAAACTATAGATACATAATTTGAAGGTTATTTTTGGATCAGGGTCTACAATGCAAGGCAGACCCTGGTCAATGGTATAATTTGCCATTTCAGCCCAAGGTGGCTTTTAGTCTACCGACCGACTAGGCACCAAACTCGACCAAGTTGGCACCTAACTCAACCAAGTCAACACCCAACTGCTTGCTATTCCTCTTCTATCTTCCTCCAACCATGTACTCCATTAATAGTCTAACATATGTAGTTGACTATTTAGGGAGTTATAATAACCTAACAACTCACCGCCTTGAGTGCAAAAAGTGGAGACCCTATACTCAAATAACTCGGCCGCCTAGGCACCTGACCAGCAAAGGTGCAATTTTATTTCCTTATAGTTGCATAGCAGTCAACAAAAAGACAGGATGTTGGATTCGACTCTCCAAGCCACAGTCCAACAACATCATATAAGATTGGATCCAAAAACAAATCATCAATTGATTAGGTTGATGCATATAATGTAGTCCCGGTTCGATTAAAACCAAGAAAGATGGCTAATGAAATCAAGATTGAACTGGAGTTAAGGAAAGATGCATACTTTGCAAGGCTGCAGACAAGCTGCCAGCAGGCATGTAATCACAGACGAGAAGCTTCTCGTCCTTGGAGAAGTAATATGCCCGGGGTGGAACTACGTTAGGGTGCTGTGCAATCCTGCCTATGGTCTCCATATGTTGCTCGAATTCCCTCTTCCCGACGCACACTTCCCTCAGCCGTTTCACCACCACCATCATGGCCTCGTCCAAGACAGCCTTATAAGTTGTTCCATAGCTCCCCTTCCCGAGAACTTCAGCCGAAGCCCTCAGCAAGTCCTCCAGATCGAAGCTGTGAGAGCAGCCTTGAAAGAACACCAATTTGTTCTTCTCTGCATCTTGTACCCCGCTCCCAAAGTCCTCGGGCTTCTCACTCTTTCCACCATAACCAACTTTCTCCTTAACTTCCCCGCTGCCATCCGAGATTTTCCTCTTCAAGCAGAAGAAGACAATGACAAGTGCTAAAAGAAACAGCACCGAACAAGCCCCGACTGTGATTATAATGGTAGCTGCTATGCTAGGCTTTTTCGTCGAGCCAATGGATGTTTGTTTTTCAGGTATTGGGAGAGAAGATGGCGGGGGAGATTCCAAGCACTGAGCCAGAGGCTCCCCGCAGAGACGAGAGTTCCCCATAAATGAAGAAAGTGGGAATTTCTTGAGGGAATCTGGGATCGAGCCATTTAGCATGTTGTGACTCAAATTTAAGTTCTTTAGCCTCGAAGACTCGAGATCAGGAACCGCACCAGATAACAAGTTATATTGCAGGTTCAGAACAGATAATCGCGACAAATTCTTGATTGCAAGTGGAATTTCGCCAGTAAAAGAGTTAAAGGAAAGATTTAACACACCTAGCTGGGGAGAAAGCGAGGTGGGGATATTCCCAGTGAAGTTATTGTGCTGAAGGTAGACCGATTGGAGAGACGGGATGGAGAGGATATCAGAAGGAAGATTCCCATTCAAACGGTTGCCCCGAAGGCTTAGAACCCGAAGACCATCCAGCTTTCCAATAGTGTTGGGCGGGATAGAACCATAAAGACCAACACCAGGGAGATGGAGAGCTACAACTCTGGTCCCGTCTTTACTGCATTTGATGCCAGTCCAAGACCCGCAGATTGGGAGAGTAGAATTCCAGTTGAGCTTTCGTCGATGAGGAACAGATGCAGAAAACTCGAGCAAGGCCTTTCCATCGGAGTCAAGATCAGCAACAATCCCCGGAAGAAAGAAAACAGAAGCAACAGCTGCTAGTAAGAGATGAATTCTCATCGCGATTTTCTTAATGGCTGCTAGTAAGCGAGGCTGCCTGTTTTGACATTTTAAGATGAAAAAAGGCAATCAGTTTAAGCGCAAATATGGAGGAAGTGCAAAAGAGAACTGCAGAAAACAATGAAAATCCTTTAATTCTAAAAATGTTCTTTCGTTATAAACGAAAAATAGCCCTCCATTCTAATCAACCTTCACCAAACTGCTTATTCAAAAGCAAGGCTAAACACGTTTTGGAACTCTTTAAAGGCAGACGAGAAAACTCACCATATAATAATGCTCGAGAAATGGAGTCTGAGCAGCTATATATGGCGAGAATGCGAGACCTTATACATCATGCATCAATGATTGGACCGCCTTTTCTCTGCATATTTAAATTTTGCAGGCACAGTGAATCTTAGCAAAGAAGGCATGCTACACACAAAGGAGCTCATCAAAGCTAAAGAGTGCAAAAAAAAGGTGATCCATTTAAGAGAAAAGCCAAAGTTGGAGATAAAAAAGAATGCAGACCAGAAAGAGAAAAAGATTCACAATAAAGAAAAAGCAAAAGTTGGGCTGTATGTTTTGTTTGCCAGTGATAAATGATGGGTATGGAATTCAATGTTGAAAAGTGAAACTTAACAACATTTTTATTCTCAAATCTCCAGCATTAGGTGTCAACAACTTGTTTTAAAACAGTATTTAATTTTGTCTTGGGGGGTGGGTCATTTGACAATGTGGTTTTTCTAATCAATCATTGAACCCCATGATTGTATAACCATTCAAAACAAATTAGCATACCAAGTCCTTTCTAGGTTCAAGAAAATAGAGATTAATGGGAGGCAACCTCAACCAATTAAGTTGGTCATGTTTAGGTTGTTACTAGTTCGACTCTCGACGAGAGTGGTCTATCGGTCTTCTTGATTTGAGTCAGTCAACTATGGGCAACTTAGGCTGGTTTACTTCCTCGTGATCCTTGGTTAGCTAGGGTCACAAGGCAGGGGTTTATCCAAGGCATACCATCGGTTAGTGACTGCCGGTTTTGCTTGGTCACCCTTGCCTCAACCAAGTTGGTCATGTTTAGGTTGTTGACTAGTTCGATTCTCGACAAGAGTGGCATATCAGTCTTCTTGATTTGAGTCGGTCAACTATGGGCAACCTAGGCCGGTTTACTTCCCCGTGATCCTTGGTCAGCCAGGGTCACAAGGCAGAGTTTATTCAAGTCACACATCAGATAGTGACTGCAGATTTTGCTCGTCACCCAAAAAAAAATTAGAGATTATAGTGTTTTTTTCAACTTGTCTAGATTATACTGGCAGTGTAAAAGCAGATTAAAAAATTCAAGTAGCCCAAACTGACTTTACATTATAAAATGGAAAATTTGAACAATACAAGTTGAAAGGTGGATGAAAGGAGTGAAAACCTGTATTTACCACCATGGTGGTTCCAATTTGCATCTTAACTACTGTGAAGTAAAAAAGAAAGTACTAATCAACTGAACTAACCCTCACCTTACCAAATTTTGTGGGGCTGTAAAAAGAGAGAGCAGAACGAAACTGCCCAGCCATTGACAGGTAAAAATCCATACACAGTAAGTTTATTTATACATGTATGGTAAACAGTGTGTGTGTGTGTGTGTGAACAGAGCTAAAGAGAGACTTACAGATTAAAGGGCAGTGCAAAGATTGAATCTTGGGCAGAAAGCTTGAAATTCAACAAAGAAATTAAAGAAGCCTCACTGTGTATGTATGTATGTATATATGTATGTGCATATATATCTTGAAAACAGTTGTTGAGTTTAATGGCACTCTTCAGAGAAAAGATATTTTCTTGACTTCTTGAGGTGTCAATTATGAAATTTAGCTTATTTTGATATCACCCCTCATGAAAACACAAAACACAGATTTCTTTATTTTATATATATATATATATATATATATATATATATATATATATATATATATACTCCATATGTCTCATTTTATCTGCCATACTCACTATTCATTAGTCAAACCAACTATTTCTTCTTAGCTTATTTCTATTATCACTCTCTTATAATTTTAAAATTTGATTGTTTTTATGTTTAATAGTATTTTTTTTTTTTTTTGAGAAATTTAATAGTACTTTTAATATAGGTTCTAAATATATAAAATTTACATACTAATTCTAAATTTAATATTATAAAAAATAAATTGTAAACAACTCCCGTCAAACCTCGTTAACCAAACTCGACACATAAAACAAGACAGTGGAAATAAAATTCTGATAAAACTCTAATTAAGTTGATCAAATTGTTGACTGAGTACGATAAGATATTTTGCTGACCAGAATTATAAAGTGTAATTTTTTAATGCACATTTTCATATAGTGACTATATTACTCAACAAAGAATTTTAAGGGAAAAAAAAATCCATTTTTTTATTGTTTCATTTCTTTAGCGGCCATTTCGGCAACGGCATTGAGGATTTGAGGAGCGTTAAACACGTAGAGACAGTGACACAATACATAGTAATTAAACAATGTTCAATGCCATACAGCCTAGCTAATGTTTTATTCTAAATTTAGAAAAATTATATATGACACTGTTTGCCATTTTAGTCATTATTTCCTTTTTTTTAGAGCTTACTACATTGTACAAATATTTGGTACACGACGAAACAAAAATGTTTTTGTTTCTATTTTAATTCAGAGTACCAAGTGCATTACAACTAGCATATGTATCAGTACATATGTTTTTTTTCAACGTTACAAAAATCGCTAGGCGTTCTTCGGGCGTTCTTTTTTTAAATATTTTTAAAATTTTTTATTTATTTAAAATTTGATTTATAAATTATTTAATACTTTAATAGTTAATACTAAAATATTAAGTATTAACTTAAAAAACAACTAGAATTATAAATTGTATAAAGAATTAAAGATTTAAAGATTTAAAGAATTAAAACACAATTCCACAAAATCACAACTCACAAAGTATCAATATTAGCAAAATTGATTTTGATTTTTTTTACATTTTTTAGATTTGCGGCCAATTTGAACAATTTAGAACTATTTCGCTCAAAATGACGTCTTTTTAAGCAAAATAACTTATTTAAGAAAAAATGGAACAATAGCTAATCATCGGCCGCCTAGTCCCCCTTGACCTAGTCGGCGCCAAGGCCGCCTAGGTGGCCGACTGTATAAATCACCGATTTCGGTGATTTTCTAGGCGATAGGCCACCGCCTAGCGCCGCGATTTTTGTAACATTGTGTTTTTTTAGATAACAAAACAAAATATGATTTATAATTTAAGATATTATTTTTAAAAAATAAAATACATTATTTGTTTGCATTTATAATGATTGAGAATGAGTAATAATAAGATAATGATGTGTGATAAATGAATTGTTGTTAATTACACACATTCAAGTGATTCAAATAAACTATGTTGTTATGAGGGTGAAATAGTGATGAGTAAAGTTCTGGAGGGTCGAGTCTACTAATTTAACATTCTATCAACAAAATATGACGATGATTGTTACGCAAGTAAAAACAAAATAAAGTCATATTTTTACTATGCTGAACTTTTGAACTTTTGACGGACAGTGATACACAACTATGAAGTTAAAGACTTTCTTGTAATTTCAAGAATTTGCATTATTATTGCCTGCATTTTTATAACTTACATTTTCAACCTGTTTGTTAGAGGTAGTTAAGTGATCCCCATTGCTTGTTGATGTGGGAGCACCAGAGAGAAGATTATGGAGAAGAAAATCTTATCAGTTATCACTTCAATTTCAATAATACTGAAATCCATTTGCTTCATTTTTTTCAATTATGTATTGATACAGTAAGTTCTTCAAATTTCAACAAAATCTCAAAATGCAACAATCATTACAAAAAATAATTCCATGTATGAATTTGTAGCTAACATGTTATATGTCTTAAATCTATTAACTACAAGTACAAAATATATGAACTGCATAAACAAAATTTTTGAATCAAAATCTACAATGCAAGATGGACACTGATACATGATATAACTGTATGAAGGCAATATGGTACAGAATCTTCCAAATTAAGAATACTATTTTTTTTTTAATGCAAGAATACTATTTAATCTGTGCAACCTAAAAATATAATTTTTATTTTGTATAAAAAAAAATAGAAATACAAATCTATAATGTTTAACTCCTCCCCCGATCACAGCTGCAAGCCTGCAACCAAGTTGCCAGACTCGCATGCTAGATGATTACAGTATAACACCAAATGAAAGTCATTCTAATTTTATGATTAGTCAGAGATGAAGGCATGCACCCAAGTAACTATTTACATTTAAGAGGAATCGATATTTCAAGATTTCTTATAGAGAGAGTCTCACACCTACTACACACTTTGGATCTTTGAAAAACTGAAAGAATTATGTACACTTATTAAAGTATATATCAGCAGCCAATAACATCTGACCTTTTTTCCTTTTTCTACATCCAAAGTAATAGGCAATGATGTATATACAGAGGAAGGATATGATAAGCATATTTCCATATGACTGAAGTTGGGCACTATCTAGGTCTACTCTCTGTTTTCAGAAAGCAAACATATTCTTGCTGCACCATAGCCCCTCCATTCACAGGGTCAAAGCTACACCTGTAGAAACTAGTGACACAAAAGAAAGGAGATTAGAGGGCAAATATGATGAGAGTTTTTGACTGACAAAATTGTGGAATGAACAAAGTGAATATACAATTATACACACATAAAAAGCAAGTGTAGTGATTTTTGCGCCAAGTGTTGCGGATGTGTATATCTTAATGACAAATTAGAGAATAGTGCCTCATACCTCCCGTCCATGCCAGCGATAATAACAGTGTTCTGAGAACCAAATGCAGAGATGAATTGGGTACACTCTGGCAAGTGAAACTGAGCAAATGACCACTCCGAGCTAAAATACCTTGGTAAAACCCCTGTAAAAATGAGAATGCTTGATTAGAAGAAGTTGAAAATGAAGCATCAGCAATCAGCAGCATAACTAAGAATACATTCTCACGGGGGTAACCCCAGCCAAGATGGCAAGAGATCCACACTTGTAACCACATGGGAATCCTTACCCCCTTGGTTTGAGCCAGTCAGCTATGGGTAACCTAGGCTGGTTTACTTCCTTGTGGGCCTTTGCAAGCTAGGGCCACAAAGCGGGGTTTACCTACACCCGAAAGGGTTGTGGGGTTTCCCTCGTCATCCAAAAAAGAATACATTCTCACCTCTCATGAAAGACAATGATGAGCCAGGGTTGGCACCGGTGCTCGGAGAAATAAGAGCATCAAGTGCAGTTGATGAATGCTGTTGATACAACAGCGCTTGATTTCCAACAGTGCTGCTATCAGTTGCAACATCCTCCCCAACAATTCGCACTCTTAGGCTGTATACATGAATAGTACCTTTGTCACTAGAAACCGACAACCACTGAACATTTGGTGACAGTGCTATACTGTAGATATCGGCTTTGTCTACACCTCTGCGTACCTATCAGGAAGTGAATGTAGTAGAATCAGCATGCTGTAAAGAAGTATCCGTAATAACATGTTAAAATACACCTCTTGAAGCAATGAAGCAATGGACAGGTTAAGTTCAAAGGAGAAGGTACAACTGCAAAACATCTAAAGCTATTTTTAAGCAGGAGACCTTGTTAAGGCAATTTCATCATGAAAATTATTCCTTGAAATCCTAAAGGGTATATTACAATTTTTAGCATATGCCTTCATATAATCATGTTACCAGTTTAACATATTGAGGGAAGAAAGTACCTCTTGCAACTGAGTCCCATCCATTGTATTGAAAATTCTTATCAAAGTGCCCTTGGTGCTAGCCGTGGCAAGAAGAAGCCCATCCATTGTCAAGGTTAAGCATGCTACCTGAGAATCATGAGCCTTGATTAATTTTGTCATGTTCAGGCCAAAATGCTCAACACGAACTTGTCCTCGTCGAAGGCCTGGACAAGCCAATACTGATGTATTTGAGTAGTGTGACAGGCAGCAAAGCCCCCTAGGATTCTCAAAAGTCTCTATCTGATGAAGAAGTTTTAGATCCATAAAATTGTAGACATATATCTTGTACTCAAGAACAACAACAACGCGATCCCGTCGTAGTTTCACAGCACGAACCTCAGACCTAAACGAAAACTCACCAATGCACCTGCTTTGATGATCATCCCAAATAATAACTTTGTTTGGAGGATATTGAGAATTGGTTCTAGCACCAACGAGTGCTAAAATATTGCAACGGAATAGCATTTCAACAATCCCAAAGCCTCCACTTTTGATATCACGTCTGAAAGTCTCCTTGAAGGGATCACAGTTATATATACGAAAACCTCGACTTGTGCCAGCAGCAAAGCAACTGTAATCCTGGTTCCATGATACAGAATGCAACTCAGTTTCATCAGTGTCACTAGACTCTGATTGAGTATTGCCAAAAGGTCCAGGAGCCGCACTCATTGAATCTTCATATGCACCAAAGCCAGCTGGGGGAATTATCCCTCGAGACGTTGACAAAGTTGAACTCGTTGGAGAAGACAGAGTAGACATTTAGAATGCCACCAGAAGATATAGAAATCTAGAGGGTCAACATTTGAAAATGTTAAACATGCAAAAGTAATGGATGAACCATCCACATAATACTTTGAAGACATTTTGACCAAGGCTGCTCCATATCATTACAATGTATTAGCAAAACAAGGAGAATAGAACCCAGAATTATGCCCTAAACAACATGAGTAGATGACAGTGTTTCATAAAAGAAAAAAGTATATATCCATTCATGGAAAACATTAATGAGCAATGATTTTTCAAGCTCAAAATTGTTATCAATTTCACTACTGTTAATATCGGCATTACACAAACGCATTAACTACTTAGCAGACTCATCATGTTAAAGAAATCTTCACCCATCATCATAACATTACAATCCAAACTAGTGAGATTTAAATGATCAGCATGGTTTAAGCCATTAATCAAGTCTCAACTTAGGAGCAATTAAGCAGTTCAACTGACTCTTCTAGAAGCATAATATACAACATAAACTTTGAAAAACTAGGCTAGATAATCAATCAAGAAACGAAGAACTGAGCAATAATTTCATCAATGAGATAATACATCTCTAATCATCCACAACGACCGCTCTCTCATTCTTCGCGTTAGACTACTCACTTAACGTCGAATATTGAATTCCCACCAATAATGTTGTAATCAACAGCATCAGGCGCACAAACTAACCAGGAAATACACTCACGATTTCGAAATTGAAATAAAGAAACCCTAATTGAAATGAACAGCCTGTCTGGCCGAGTATATACGAATTTGCGCAGAATACATAGGCTCGTTCATGTCAAAACGTATTTGAGTTGGTTTACCTTGAACAGCTGAAGTTGAAGGTCCGCGATGGGACTGAGATTTCACAGTGAATAGTCGTCGCCAGATCTCTGCGACGATGATCGGTTGAAACGAAGAGCGAATGCGAAGCCTTCTAGGAGAGAGAGAGTACCCGAATTGGAGGGAGGGATGCGAGGTCTTTCCGTCTCTGATTGTGGACACGTTTGAGGAATGATTATAATCCGACGGCGTGTGATTATTCAGCGGTACATTAATACATATTTCGTTACGTAAATGATAATTTCCGGTTTTTATCCCTTAATTATTGCATCACTTTTATATTTGAATTTGAATAATTTTCACTCACTATTATACATTATTATACATAAATAAATAAATCAAATTTGATATTTGAGTATTAAAATGTTCTAATTAGATATATAATTATGTTATTTATATCACATTTAGTCATATATCATCTAATTTCCTTGTCAACTATTTTCAGAATTGCTTATTCCAAAAGAAGCAAATGCAGTGTTCTCCCATAAGTGTTCCTTCAGGAAGAAGCAAATGTAGTACTCCTTCTGAAAAAAACAATCTTACAATAATTAACTAAAAATTATACAACATGACAAAATGTGATACAAATTACATAGTTATGTATATGATTAGAAAATTTTAATAATCAATAACAAAATGTGATTATGTATAATATCAAATGACAAAAAGGTGAAATTTTCCCTTTGAATTTGAAGCATTGTACTTGGACTATGGATATGACTCACTGTTAAGGTGAAGCTATATTATTTTTAATGGAGTGAATTATATTATCTCATTTTGTATGTTCCGCTTACTATTTATTGGTCAAATTAATTTTTTCTTCGTTATTTATTTTCTTTAGTAAATTTTAATTATTCTTAATCTGATTTTTGTGTTTAATAGTACTTTCAATGTAGTTTTTAAATATATAAATTTCGTTTGGGAAGAATATATAAATTTTATGTACGGTAGTTTTTCACGCGCATTGCGCGATTGGAATAATATCCCATGTTTATTTTCAAATAAGTACTTTAAAATATATCAAAGCAAAATTATATTGCAGAAAATTTATTAAAAACAACTCAGCGAGTGAATATTCACTTATTAATTCTGATTATAGAGTTCTTTAATTGTGAATATATAGTTATGAAATTGTGAATATAGAGTTTTGTAATTGTAAATATAGAGTTCAAAAATTATGAATAATCAGTTAAAAATTGTGAATATAGAGTTAAAAAATTGTGAATATTGAGTTCTGTAAGTTTGTATATTAAAATCTAAAATTGTGAATATAAAATTTTAAAATTGTGAATATAACCGTGTCCACGTCATAATTTGCTGCTCTTTACTTGGTAGGCCAAGGGGCAACATAGTTCGATATTAGGGCTAAATAATTAAATTTGAAAAAAAAATGGAGAAAATATGAGTATCAAAGCAATGGATTGATATAATTTGGCTTTCAACTCGTTGAATTTGACTTTTGACAAGTCAAATACATGCAGTATGCATTTCAGTAATTTTGCATGACAACTTCAAACATCTAAGTAGATTTTGACTCTCACTCGTAACTTCAAATTTTGACTTTGTGACCTTTACAAGAATTGTATCCTTTCAGTTGATTTTTCAATAATGTTGAAATTTTCTCAATTACACCTCCCTACATCGAGTTATAATCAAAATAGTAAGTAGAGAATATTATTTTGAACAAAAATATATATAATTTTGTAATATTTTGTTCTGCATTTGCATTGGCTTTCCAGCTTCAAAAGGACCATCTAAAACACATTAGAAGTCTTTTAAGACTTTTTTAAAAAAAATTTAAATGTAAGAAATTTAATAATTTAAACTCCAAAATAATTAAGAGAAGTAAAAAATCTATGAATACGCATAAAGTCTCAGTGTTTTTTGCCCATGACATTTTAAGACGACTTTTTTTATACTCTATGCTTTAATAGTTGGACCTTATTACATGAAATTTTTCATTTGCACTTCTGGTGGCAATATAAAATTCCTCATCTGCCCTTCTGATGCATCGTCCGTTCAAAATCCGGATGTGTCCGGCTTGTGAAGTACAAAGAGATTGTTAGCTTTTTACTGTAATCATGTGCTGATCTGACAACCCATCTCTTACCTATTGTACTTCTCTTTCTGACAACCCATGCTTGCATTTAATGTGAATGTTTCTTTTTTCACGCCATTGACCGTGTTCACTGCAATTTTTTTTTTTTTTTGAGAACATCTACACACATCCCTTTGTACTTATTTCAACTTTTTATCATTTTATGTCCGTTTCTTGACACTTTAGTTTTTTTTTTTTTTTTTTTTTTAGTTTTTAATTGAACTTTTTTATCCAATTTGTTAAATTTCCAATACATATTATTTTTAATTTTAAAGGGAAACATCCTAATTCAAGTGGGGATAAAAATGATAATCCCTAACAAGCATGAAGCAGGGGACGCTAACACAATATAATGTATCGTTCATATGCAAGATTTATGAAAATTCAAAAGTGACGAGTTCGAATGCTATTTGTTATCAGTGTAATTATATTCATTATGAAAAATGAAAAATGAAAAATACAATATTTCAAAGTACTCTAATTGCTTTTTAGGGTCATATAATGGTTGGAGTAAAATCCATATCTGCACAAATGTATTTTTCAAGACCTTAGCATGCCTCCCATATTTGATGCCTCTTCACCTGACATGGTATTTCGCTGCAGAATCATAATATATATCCGGTTGCTCCCTTACGTGGGACGTCTAAAGTTTGAGCCTCGATGTAGGCGTATATTGTGTATGTGGGTATCTCTTTCCTCTATAATTAAAAAAAAAAAAAAAGGGAAAATGACACTTTTTCCCCCTAAGTTATATATTTATAGCACTTTTTCCCCCTCAATTATTTATGTAAGCACATTAGCCCCCTCAATTATTTTAAAAGTGGTGATTTTCCCCCTAATATATTAAATTGACATTTCTACCCTTAAAGTAAACATTTTATTTATTTTACTTCTCCAACAAATTATTGTGTATATGTAGCGATTATCACGGTTCGGTTCGAACTGAACCAGACACTATAGCAATCGAATTAAAAGTTTTCGATTATAATTCATATCTAGAACTCAATATTTAGATTTCAATTTATTAAATTTAAGAATAAAAAAAATTGGATCATGAACTGTGAACCGGCGATTCCGGATCCGGTTCGCGATTTTGAACCGTCTTTATTTTAAAATAGTCTAAATTCAACAATAAATGTATTTTATTTTTTCAATTCGGAACATGAACCAACCATTCCAGTTCGCGATTTTAATAAACTCTAAATATCACATTTTGATTATAAATTGTATTTGGAATATTTTGGTTTGGTGCTATAGTATCTGTTTGGTTTGAACCAAATGATAGTAATAATTTGTTGGAGAAGAAAAATAAATGAAATATTTATTTTAAGGGTAAATATGTCCATTTAACATTTCAGGGGGAAAGAACCACTTAAATAATTCAGGGGGAAAAATGCTATAAGTATATAACTCAGGGGGAAAAATGTCATTTTTCCTAAAAAAAAATTATAATTGAGGTTTAAATGAATATATATATATATATATATATATATATATATATATATATATATATATATGCAAATCTCCTATACTAATAAGAGCCCAAGAGAGTTAGGCCTATAATGGGTAGAAAAAATGGCGGTCAAATTTTTTAATCAAATGAATGTCTCAGATTGATAGTTTTTAATTTTTCTTTGAGATTTCCTAATTTATCCCTAATGAATATGATTATCTGTTAACTTTTCCGTTAAATATTATCTTTTCCGCTAATTTCTGTTAGCTCACTTACTCATTGATTTCAATAAGAAAGGTTTTAGGTTCGAACCCCATCCCAATCAAAGTTGGCATAATTAGTACTCTATTTTACTCTTATTAAATTAAAAATTAAATAATAATTTAGTAGCTACAACAAAAAATAATACATATGCATTTCATTAATTTAGAATTATGTGTCTACAATGCATTTATTCAAAAAAAAAAAAAATTATTCACTATCAATAAATTAAATAAGAGAAATAATTTCATTAGTTATATTGTCTTTATTTTTCTCCAATGTAAAAATTCTTTACATTCAAATTCATCAATTGATTATATTCACTAGATTGCCTATTATCTTTTTTTTTTTTGCACTATTTTTTAATTAAATATCAAAGTTATAATACAAAATAATGCTATATTTATTTACCAAGTATTTTATTAATACCATGAAAAAATTTAAAAATTTTAAATTAATAAAGCCAAATCATATTAACTACTTGAGGGACTTGTTGACAAAGAGAGTATTCAAATCACACAACAAATTGAAGTGAGAAACTACCTCTCAATGTCCTTGTTTGACAATCAGCAGTTAGCGGTTAGCGTTAGCGGATTATATTAGCAGATTTGACCAGCGAATTATATCAACGGTTAGTAAAAAGATATTTGAAAAAATTAGCTGTTTAAATTAACATTTAAAATGACCTAAGGTATAATAATAATAATAACTAGTATTTGACCCGTGCGATGCACGGGATGTTATTTAAGTATTTTTAGTTGTGCGTGTTTTATGTTAAGATTTGTGTTATATATTGGGAAATACAATTTCGACACGTAATCAAATTGTGTCTTACTAATAGTTCAAAGATGTTGGCAATATAAAAACAATATATTACAAAATTACAAATTATTGAAAACTTCATGATATACAACATTAGTGGTTGATGTAGTAGTTGCACTTGAATCTTTTCCAATAAGTATTTTCAAACCGTCTGGATTATTAACGCGAGATGCAGCTACGTACAACTAACCATGTACAAAAACCGGTTTCTTTAGTATTAACCCTACATGTTTCAAGGTTTGGCCTTGACTTTTGTTTATTGTCATTGCATATGAAAGCATCAACGGGAATTGCCTTCGTTGGAACTTGAACGGCAATCTGGGATCCGAGGGTGACATTGACATTCGGGGTATTAACACTTTCGTACCTTTGTTGGGCCCAGTTAGAAGCTCGCCTTCAATAACATGGTCTGCTAACTTTGTGATTATCAACCGAGTTCCATTGCACAACCCAATAGAATGATCAATATTCCTCATTAGCATTACTGGTGATCCAATTTTCAAATTCAGTGTATGGTTTGGTAGACCCGACACACGGATGCTGTTTAGGAATTCCGGGGTGTGTACATCTCCAAGTATCCCATTATCACCGTCGGCTTTGCATACTGCGTCTGAACTATAGTAGAACCTACTTTCGGCATCATGCAGCTCAGTCATATATTCATTAACTGCATGGACAACGTCCAGCGTTGGTGCAAGTATAGCACGACCTATCAAATACTCTGGGTCAGTATTTCCAACTGCAAACATTGGAAATGTACTTTCAACAATTGCTTTAATGTCGTCGGTCCCGGGGGATACTAACATGTGGTTAGGTATTTGGACTTCTGCCATCCCGTCATTCCTGCCTCCAATCTTCCCATCTCCGATATTGGCAATCCAGTTAGCGAACTCTGTCAATGACTGCCTATTACCAGAACTGCTAGCCGAACTTAGCCGTAGGTTTTTCGTCAATCTCAAAACTTTGCAACTATCCCATAAATATGATGCATTTATAGCGGATGAAACAATGTCTTGACGTGAACCTTTTGGAACAACTGGGAGAATTTGCCGGAAATCTCCACCCAGTACCACGGTTTTACCACCAAACGTCTTCATCTCACTGTTACTGTCAGCAAAACGCAGTAAATCTCGCATGGTTCGATCTAACGCTTCAAAGCAATGTTTGTGCATCATTGGAGCTTCGTCCCAAATTATCAAACTCGTTTTTATCAACAATTCAGCCAAGTCGCCACCCTGTTTAATGTTACACGTAGAGTCCTCATTTATTGAAATAGGTATTGCAAATCTAGAGTGAGCTGTTCGGCCACCTGGTAACAACAAAGAAGCTATGCCACTTGATGCGACATTTAAAACGATCTGTCCTTTGGAACGAATTGAAGCAGACAATGCTCTCCATAAAAAAGTCTTTCTGGTACCACCATATCCATATACAAAAAATAATCCACCTTTATTGCTTTCAATATCTTGCGTAACAGTATTGAAAATGAGCCTTTGTTCTTCTGTTAGTTTGGAAAACATCATTTCAGAATCTGCCTTCAATTGTTCTGAATTGTAATTCAGTTCTTCAAACACCAGTCGATTTTGAAACAACCTTGTATTATCGGTACTTGGTGTGGGCATCGGAGGAAAATCATTTAAGGATTTGTTCTGTTGACCCAAAAGGTGTTCCAATTCCAATAATCCAAAGTTCTTTTTCTCCTCTACTGTTAAAACCAAATCTGTTACAATACCAAGACCAAAATTGTTATAATTTGTTGACTTAATAAACTTCCGGAATAGTATATTGTAAAGAAACATAAGAAAACTGACCTTGTTGTTTTAATAATCTTCTTTGCTGGTGCTGAGCATCTTCACAAAGATGTTCTCAAACTTGATTCCAAACATTTTCGGGTCTAATAATTGAGGATGATGTTAGTAAAACAACAAATAGCTTCCTCAATGAGTGTGCAGTTGACCAATAGCTTGCCTCATTTATAGCATCAACATACTCCTTATCGTCATCTAGCAGTCCATGCGCATAACATGCATCCCTAAACGTCAAGTACTCAACACCGTTAACTGTCCTGATATCCTTGAAACTTTTTGGACCACGTACTATGTTCAATAGACATCTCAAATAATAAATTTCTCCTGAAGCTGGAGGTACATAGAATATTCTACCAATTGAGGATCTATTTGACTTTCTTGGATGCCATTCACGGATGTCTTTTTTCCACACAAATTTGGTAGGCATCTCAATGTAAGTCAACAAACACGCTTCTTTGAAAGTCTGATTCGCTAAAAACCAACCATTAAACATACTTTGACCAACTGTTTCTCTATTTAGTACATTATCAATGCTATCATCGTCTTGGAAAACAACTGATTGACAATCAGGTAAGTGGAAGCTTAATCGCTCAACAGGGGGTGTCCTATACTGTATTTCAAAACTAAACAATCGCCAAGCTGCTTCACATGCAGATACATATCTGCAATCATAGTACATGTTTATCTCATCCACAATCTCATTACCCGCTTCGTCCATCGAAGTCTTATAGAACTCAGCAGTTACACGGTCATTGCCCTTGTTGACGTACTTGAAGAGATACTTGATTGACCGAGATTGGTTACACCACTCTACATTAATGTGAGCTTTGTATTTCAAAAGCAAGTACCTATTATGTGGTACAACATATCTATTATCCAACTCTATTCCATTCTTTTTTATTGTCTTCTTATCATCCCTTCTTCGGTACAACGGGTAACCATCTTGGTCAAAATGTGATGCATCAATGTATCTTTTTGGAAAATGCTTTGAACACTTCCCATTTGCCATGCACGGGGATTTAATTCTTGCAACACCGCATGGGCCGTGCAACATGAATTCTTCGACAGCTTGGTAATACTCAATGTCTGAATGCTTGTCGGGAATCTCGGCTGAAATGATCGTGTCCATAAAAGCCGGATCGGCAAAGTCGATGGTCGCTTGAAGGAACAATAATATATGCGCATGCGGCAGACCACGCTTTTGAAATTCAATCGTGTATATTACTGTCATAAAGGCAAAAATATTGTAAGATATAACCTTCATATAATAATATCTATTATTTTTAAAACTGCCAATTATATGCAATTGAAAGACGCACCTGCCTTTACACGACCAAATAGTTTCCCATTTTTTATTTCTTTGATTAAACAGTCTAGCTTAAGTTTGAAAACACGGCAGACAATGTCGGGACGATCTTCCGCTTTCAAGTTTCTTTTCTCCACGAATCGTTGTATCTCGGGCCATTTAGGATTACATGTAAATGTAATAAAAAGATTTGGATAACCTATGAATCTGCAAATTGCCATGGCGTCTTGATAGTTCTGTATCATGTATCTTGCTCCTCCGGTGAAACTTGATGGTAATATTATTCTTTTCCCTGTCGAGCTGGGTTGAACTTCACCGCGCGTAAGCGCATCAGACAGCCCTTTGTACGCCTCACACCTCAAAGCTTTTTGATTTGACCTAATATAGAGCAACCTCGAAGACTCGACCATAGTATACGCATCAACCAAGAATTGTTGGAATAACCTTTTAGCATACATTATTGTTGAGACCTCATTTGATCTTTCGTGGATACGGAACGCGAAGTACTCTCTTTGTGAAACACTCTTTCTGGCAAAATCTTGTTTTGTACCAAGTGTTGCAAAATGTATATCTTCTCGAAAACCATCCTCCCCGTATGGAAATAAGATTGGGTATTGCAATGGTAAATATGCCGGGTTTAATTCATTTATTCGTTTAAGCGCTCCAGACCTACACTCGACAACAATATCCCGTTGACCCATGTACGGGTCTATATCCCCAACAATCAGTGCAGCAACCTCGGAAGTAGTCGGTAACGCATAAGTCCTGGCATCTTTAGTCCTCTTCCCTATTAATCTCATTCTAATTTGCGTTTGAGGATTAGACTCCAGAAACGACTTGGCCATTCGGAATGACTTAACCAACACATTGTGTTCATCAAGCACTTGTTTAATGTCATTTACTACCTCACTATGCAATGCAGAACCATTGTTTTCGGCCCTAAACAAAGATGAATATATAATATAAGATTCTCTGAATTAACCAACTATTTGGAAAAGAAATTGCAGTACAACAAAAGAGTATACCTCAGAGAGTTTAATCGATTTTCTATCTCATTCTCTGTATCGTGAATGTATAATTGGGCAAACTTCGGTTGAATGCCATCTGAAGGTAATAAGCTTCCAATCCGATGAAAATTTTGACCATTTATACGGAATATAGGCGGCGATGTTCCGTTGTTAATAGTTCTGTCAATTTTCCCACCCATCGACGTAAAGCAAAACATACTGTTATATGACCTTATATTCTTTAAAAAACAATTGTTTTTGTCATGTGGCCTAAAGAATAAGTCATATAGCTTTTGAGGAGGCTTTGTCATAAATGGCAACTTTATTTTCCCATTGACGCAACACGCTGAGTATTTTGGACTTTCACGTGACTTTGATATGCTAGACCGTTCATTGTACCAAAACAATGAATTACAATGCTCGCAAAGATACTCTGGATCACCAAGATCAAAATAATAATCTAAAAAAAAAATATTAGTTACCATGATACTGTATTTTAGTGTAGTACATGTTTAATACCCTTTTATTGTAACACATTTCATATGAACTCACCAGTAATTGAGGGACTATTGTCATGTAAGGGTTCAACAACGTTTTGGAAATCTGTCAACAAATTCCGGTAATGCGGAATGGTTTCAATATCCGGCTCAACCGGGACTGGTCTTATATTGTTGTCACTTGTAAGGCAACAATTACTGTACATCCCTAAAAGAAAAGTATCCCATTATAATTACATTGATTAAATATTTATATAAGCATGTTAACTGCGTGACAACTACATATATAATATTAAATAATATGAATATATATTTATACCTATCTGCGACTCTGGTGATATATTTAAGTCGAAACCCAAATTTTGACGGTTAGATATAAGTGGATTGCCGGCGACAACATGGACTTGACCGCAAGTTGCTATAATAAAAAAGATATGTTAATAAGTATTAAATTTGTATATATATATATATATATATATATATATATATATAATATATATATATATATATATTAATTCATTACTAATCTTATTACAATATATTTGTTGAACTTCATACCAGTTGATATGTTGCTAAATGGCATCCTGCAACTCATTTCTTGCGGTGGTGTATTATGTATGATCATACGTAACGGAGATGAAATTGTGCATTCTAACAACATCGATTATTATTAATCATTAGAACATGTAAATGACACCAGGGTCCTAAATTCCAAAAAAAGGTATCATTGGATACTATTTTTATACCTAGTTCTGAGTCTGGGGTTTTATTTAAGTCGAATGAATGATTGTGGCGCTTGGTAATAGGTGCTCTTTCACGCTCATGGTCAAACCTTGCGGAATTTCCTTTAATTATATAAGAGTCGTACATAACACTTGTTAGAATGTTAATTATCACATTTTTTAAAATATGGTACAATAAAAATGTGTGTTTAGGTTCGTACTATTGGATATGTTGCTTAATGGTGTTCTGCTACCCGAATCTTGCAAAGGGGAATTAGGAATTGTTGTCCGAATTGCGCTTGAAGCTGTCAATTTCACATTAAAAACATGTTAGCAACAATTAATTATAATCTTGCACAATCGTATAGAACACTCTTACCATTTGTCACAATACTTAAAGGCGTACTTAACGAACTTTGGAAAACACCACGTAGGGGTGTACGATTGTGTGTATTGTTGCTGAATTCAACGGACGACATGTACGATTCATCACTGACCCCTCGATTTTCATTCTCTGTAAAAAAAAAACAATGATATAATTATATATTGTATATTTGGTATCACAATTTTTTTGATTCATACAGATTCCGAATTTACTCCTTAAATGATAGTTTGTAAAGGATGGATTTACTTTAAATGTCTAGAGTTTATAAACATTTGATGGACACAAATCGCAATAATAACAAATTAATATAATAACATACTATTATAAAAATTGCACTAATATTAAAAACCTAATAATATTTATAATTTATAATATTAATAATAACAATTAGAAAATCCACAATTTCTGGGCAGTGTTAACTATACTGCCTAATTAATATTAATATTAATTATAATAATAATAATAATATTCAGATTAATAATAATAATATTAATACAAACATACGGACACCACCACCGCACTACCGGTTCTAAGCACCCGCATTTCCACCAACATCACTACTCTCTCGGTCTCTCATTGCGTAGATGCACTCCCATTGCTCATGTTCTTCACTCTGGAGTTGTTTGAACAACATCTCCAGAAACTCTACCCGAAGACCATGCGAAATTAAAGATTTACCTGGGCTTTACGTTAATATCTCAGCGTTGATGTTGGTATCCTCTGTCAATTTTTGATTTCTACAAACCCCAGTCCGTGGGGATCTATACGATCTAGCGCAAACTACTACAAATTCTTAGATGAATTTCCTATTCCGGTAAGTTATCTACAATATCGCTCAGTTAATTCCATTTCTATGAAACAATTATGCACAATTAGAGTAGATACCGTGAAACCTAACTGTTGAGGCTTTGTTTAACTACTAAGTCCCATTAAAGTGTAGATATGATGAAATCCTTCATTGTTAATCGCATGCATCTGTAATCTGAGAAAAAAATGGATTTTAAACAAAGTATCTATCTATCTTGGGGGATTCGAAGTTTTAACCTGTATTTTTGTGTGTGTATTTTTTCTTTGAATTTGTTGTTTGCATATTTATTTTAAAAGATACTATAATATTTGTCAGGTGAATGTTGGGATGAAGAAAAAGTGGGTTTTGATTTCTAAACCTAATTCTTTTCAGCTTCCTTAATCGTTTTTAATATCTGTAGTATTGTTTACAAAAATCGTATAGTTTTTGTATAAACTAAGACAGAATAGTATAACTGCAAAAAGAGTGCTTAGATTTACCTTGGTTGTTGCTTGGATGCTTGCGCTTCGAACCAATGGTGGTTGAAGATGTAAGTTTCCTCATGTATTCTAGGGGAGATGAATTGCCAAGTTAGGGATTTCTGTAGATGTGGTTTTAACAGAGGTTTATAATATGTGGTTGTTAAATATATAGCTGCAACTTAGTCCATTAATATTTGCAGACAACCTTGGAAAATGTCAATTATAATTGCTTTTGGAATACTAAAAGGTTTTGATCAGATAGTTACTGTAATGTGCCATTAATATATTAGCTGATTGATATTCTTACTACTTGTTTTTCCCTACTAAACTGTATTTCTGAACTTTTTTTGGATTCGAATAATGAACCTTATTTATCTAATATATGTTGTTTTGCAGGTCACAATCACTGTAGAATCTTGGGATTAAGAGACTAAAATTTGGATGAAAATAAGTTGCTTGGAGTTTGATATCAAAAGCAACTCTTAACTGTATGAACCTCTGTTGAATAGAGCACAGAAAAAATAGATGTTGGATCTGTTTCTAGAACATAATGGGAATTGTACAAAAGAGGTTGCTACGCTTGTATCTAAGATAAGTTTTACATTTATAAAATTGGTTTAATCTAATTAGGCTTACTATGATTAGAATATTGTCTATCTATTCGTAAATAATCTGATGTTTATATGATTTGAATACAATTAATAAAATTCTACAATTGCAGGGAATGAAAGACATTCAGTACTACACTATAGGTGTTTTAGTATCGTATAAAAAAGAGGATGTAAAGAATATCATAGGAACGGTTAATACGCACAGCTGACAGATAAGTTTTTTTCGGGTTACCAATGTCTGATATTATGTTATTACCAACTTGCAGATCCTTTTGTGTGTTCATTCATTAGACACTGTTTATAAAGAGTTACCCAGCTAATTCTGTTTTTGGCAAATCCAGCTAATCGGTTACATCAACGTTACCAGCTAACATTAATTAAGGAAGCGTTGTAATATCAAAGTCTGTGAAATGAAAGGGTAATCCACTAATCAGCACCAAGTCCATAACTATCTTTCCAATATAAATCCATTTGTTAGAATTTGACTACTGATTTAGCAATCCATTGCTATTTTTAATCAACAACTTGTTTTTTAAAGTGCAGTTAGGATGGTATCAAGCAAATGTTGAATAAAGGGCCGGGAAGTTTTCATCAAAGGACTTTGAAGTGAGCTTAAAGATGACAGAGGCTGGTAAGTACATAATCAGAACTATTTATACGCAATTGGATTGCCAATTTATGTATTCATTAACAGAATAAGTTTAAGCCTTGCTTTAAACATCTTCTAATGACTTATATTTTACCAAACCTCTAAAGGTGTTGAGTAGCAACCAAGGATTGATAGTGATATGTTTTAATTCTACATTAAAATTTTCAACTTAGAGTACTAATTACTTTTGATGGTTTATATAGAATATTACAATGGTATAAGCTGTTTACATTATTAGTGGATTTAATTTTGGGTGACAATGAGAACTTGCTTGACATACTCTTTAATGTAGGTGAATTTATAATTTGGCATAGAAAATGTATGATTAGAATTATTAGTTGGAGCTTAGAATAGATCTTATAAAATCTCTAGTAACAAAAAAAATGACATTACATTAATCTACGATAAATAACATCCCGTTCACTTATTACATTAAAAAGTAGTCCTTCAAACATCCCTTTCAAGTAATTATTTCAATGGTGTGTTTGCTAGATGTTATCTTCATCTTCCTCCTCTTTTGTCTTATCTATGCCATATTCTTCATCTTGTTCTTCCGCGACAGCCATCTCTTCAGATATTTTTTCCACCATCTCTAAACTTGTTCCTTCGTTGTAGCATCTCTCACTGCCAAAAAAAATCTGCAAAAGGACTATAACAAATCCAGTACACATAACATGACCTAGTAACAAATTGTGAGCATTCATAAAAAACAATTATTTAGGAATATAATCCTAAATGATTGAAAGTTTCAGTCTAGCTGTTTGAGTGTAACCCAAAAACTGTCAACATAAAATCCATTGTGAAAAAAAAGAGACCAATAGAGCACATTGTCAATCATTAAAGTCATTACAAATCTGAGTCCTTCTCAATCTTGACCACACATTCCTTGGTTTTTTTTGAACTTTGAGTGCTTGAAAATTCATCGATTAGTGATCTCTTGACTGTTCCATTCTCAACACCATTCTCTGCATCCAGCCTCTGTGCAACAACTTGGAGTGGACTTTCAGCTTCATTTGCTTGGTCTGCTTCCTAAAAAATAAGAAGTTCAAAGTGTATGGACATACTCAATAGTAATAAATTCTACAGTAATTCGTACAAAATGTTACACTTGAACCCCAGGTATACCTCTAGATCCCATAGGTCCTCATCTGTCAGCTCCACCTCGAGCTTTGAACTGAGATCCCTATCCCTAACTCCTATTAGTTCGGGTGCATGCTTCTGTACAATCTTTTCATCAGTGATGATCCTCATAACAGGGAAAGCATTGAGATAATTCTGGAACTGTTCCTTGCGAACAGCAATTCTAAATAAGATATTCAGTCCAATGAGAGTCTCGAGCTCCTTAGGCAGCCCCTTCCTTCCCTACATCAAGAGTTAGTATAGATTTTAATTATACTATATACCATATAATGTTTAGTTTCTATTCATCTTGATGGAATATATAATTTTAAAACAAAACTTCTCTGTTTCAATAATCTTATAGTTTTGTATTTGTACCTTAGTATGGTTATCCTTCAGATCATCTGCGCTGATTCCAAGTAGATCGAGGCACTCCCGGTCCCATAGAAGGAAAGGAGCATTGCCATCCAAGTCCACAACCCTAACCTTAATTCTGTACCTGAGTGTCCCGTCACCCCAATTTCGATCACATGTACTACACCATAGCCACTTTCCTTTGAGTTTCAGTTTTTTGTTGCACCCCTTTGTTCTACAGGAAGCATAGTACCACTCTGGATCATCAATGAATACAATCCTAGCTGCCACCCAAAAATCGCCAAACTGCATCATATGAAAGAATGTTAGTCCACTTTAAAACATTAACCAAATCAGTATATGAGTACTTATTTTTTTAGTATCCAGGTGAAGACCATTTTGTCTATAACACTAATTAACCCATGAATATGTGTTTGATTGTGCAGGTATGTGGACAAAAACACAAGACCTGAAAGCAAATTAGTGGACTGCTCACTGGTGGAATATCAACAATTAGTGTTAATATTTATGCATTAAAGCTATAATGTTATAGACCACATTGTCTTACTATTATTCCATACAATTCTTATGGTAAAATACAGGTTAAAAAGCCAAGAAGATGGACCTAGTCTACAACTTTGAGCAGAACTGAAAGGCTGATTGAAATGAAAAGAGTCCACATAGGTATTGTTTTAAAATCCTAATTGAGTTAATATCACAACATAATACAGATTAGGTATACCCTAGGCAGTTTCTGACTATTGAATAAATTTCTAAGACAGGTATATATCCCAGGAAGTGGGATACAGTGTGCACCATGTCAGCAGAACTTCAAAAGGGACTGAAATCATATTCAGTGCATATAAAGGTATAACACAGCAGTATACAGTTGCTCACAACTCTATTATATTTCCATATGAATTATATTTTTAAGTGCATAATGCTATGATCTGTCAACCTTAGAAGGAATTGTATGGTAAAATAAAATGAATAGGATCTATGTTGGTTAAACCCAGTATTACCTCCTTATCCCTGTAAATGTCATTGATAGTACGAACTTCCATATCAGCTCCTAGGGAAACAGAATATGAGCTACATTCTTGAAAACTTGACTGGGAAATTATACTGCGCATGGGAGTCTGTTCTTGGCAAATACTGGAAAAACATAACCTAAAATGAGCAACAATAATAGTTGTAAAACTTCATGTAGAACAAAAAAATTTCAGGGTACCTTTTCCTGAACTCTTCAAATGGGGGAGATTCTTGGTTGAATAGCAGCTGTGTTACATCATAGGAGCTACAAATCTTTACATCACCACCTTTAAGAAGAACATTGTATATAGAGATTAGAAAAGCTTCTTGGTTAATAAGATAGTAGATAGTCGATAGAAGTTATACGATTTACTGTACTTACTTTTTAGGCACACCCTTGCCCTGCAAAACTGGATCAGGACCAACAGTGGTTCTTGTGTAGTAGAATTGTAGAATGCCTCAATCTTGCTCACATGCTCATCCCACAAAGTACACATTAGTTGTATTCCACTGAAAATGATTAGAAACATATTAGAAACAAAGCCAAGTGTAAAATATATTCAAAATCATAGGCATTGGATCACAGTATTACTCAGTATCTTCAATGGTGAAGTCAATAAGCCTGGAGTTCTTGCCATTGATTAGCTTATCCTGTGGGCAGTGTATTTCGATCACTCGACCAATGACATCTACAAAATAAATATTTAGAATATAGAATAGTATCCATAATAGAATATAATTAGAAACCACATATTGATAGAAAATACTGATTACCAAATAAGCTTTTCTCATCCAGGCCTTCGTTAGACTTGATCTCTCTGAAGGTCTTGAGCCGATACATTTTCATAGGAAACTTAACATGCTTTAAATCCTTAACAACAGTCTGATAGTTAAATTTGATCATGTACTTCTGTGGGCTAGTTTTGTAGGAGTAAAAATTTGTGATAACACAAAAATTTTTGATAGCACACACTGAACCTTCCACAAAACTGTTAAGGTACTTATCCACGTACTCTTTGGGTATATGAGCGTGCAAGAAGGACCCCTATGTATGTGTAAATAACAAAGAAAGGGACTATAAAATATGGGAATATGTAGAAAAATATGTACTGGGTCTAAATTTGTAGTAAAAAAACGAACCGTAGAATTGAAAAAACTGTATATCTAGATTTAAAGAATACATACCTCTTCATCATGGAAAACAACCTCTTTTGACCTAAACTTCGAAGTATCAGTTCTTTCAGGGATCTTATATGCTCGCACCACCCGAAGCTTAAGAGCCTGCCTGGTATTCATGGGAGATATCTGGCTAGCAAGAACAAACATTTTTTGCTATTCAAGAAGAATCAGAGAGGCTTTGTAGAGGGAGATTGTATTTTGTATTAATAGTTGTACATGCGTTGTATATATAAGGTCTGATGACCTTCGTTATTGATCGTAACCATCCTGATCAATAAATACCTAGAGAATAGGTATGGGTTAGTGGGCTCAATGTCCGATATGAACAATTGATTACCTTAAATACATTCTCTAATCCCATTGGATGAGAGAATGATTTGGGTAGATATATTGAAAAAATTAGGTTTCCTATATACATGGAGCTAGTATAGTGCGCAGTCGTTTGGTTTTCCGAAACAAAAATAATAAATTCATAGTGATTACCTTAAATACATTCTCTAATCCCATTGGATGGGAGAATGATTTGGGTAGATATATTGAACAAATTAGGTTTCCTATATACATGGAGCTAGTATACTGCGCAGTCCTTTGGTTTTCCGAAGCAAAAATAATAAATTCATAGTGTTTGCCCAAAACGGCGTCGTTCATGTTGGGCGGGAACTTTTTGCTCCTATTGTTTTGCTTTAATAATATATATATAGAGATAGAGATAATAATAATAATAATAATAATAATAATAATAATAATAATAATAATAATAATCCTATATATAATAAAGCTATATGGTCTTGTGAAAATTAAATGTTGATATTAATGATTAAATGTTGGTATTAACAACATTTAATTTTCACAAGACCATGTGGCTTTAAAAATCATGCATGCAACCCTAAAGTCAATAAGTTTGAAATTAATATATAGCATAGCTAGGCGGCCTAACATTTCAGATTATTGATGTGCATATTGAGGACTACGGAGACAAAGATGCGTTATTCGTGGATTCATCAGATACTATCCAACAACACTCTCCAACTTAATTGACGTGAAGTAGGCTTAGTAACATTAAGATTATATTCTCGAATTATTAGTTCTCATCTTTTATTGATTACACACTTAATTCGATAGTATTTGGAAGAAAAAATCAATGTTCGAACTAAGATTGTGATTTTGGTCTTTAAAGGTCAATTGTATGTTGCTACATCTAGAGTTAAAAATCTCAAAGGTCTAAAAATTTTGATCCGTAGTGACTCTAAAATTGTAATTCAACTACTATTGTAGTTTTCTAAGTTCTTGAAAAATTGTAATATTAAATACTATGTACTAAATTTTTAATATAGTTTAAGATTTGTAGTAATCACCCACCTTAAATATTATTTTAATTGTAAATATATTTATGTTCACACATAATAATTATTAAATAACAAAAATTTTATATATGCTCATATAGGGTATATTTTTATAACATATTTTCCGTGCATCGCACGGGACAAATACTAGTAATAATAATAATAATAATAATAATAATAATAATAATAATAATAATAATAATAATAATAATAATAATAATAATAATAATAATAATAATTGTTTTAATAATAATTACTTAAAAAATATAGATGTGTTTTGGGAAAATCATTTTCAAAAATGCTAAGTGAAAATATTGTAAATTGCAATGTTTGTATTTTCTGTGGTTTGGAACAAATTGTTGCTTCAAACTGTTGAATAACTAAAACACTTTCTTTAGCATTTTGATCTTTGGGTTACATCATATTTTCCAATCGTCCAATATCTTTGGGTTACATTATAATTAAAATGTTTAAATTTTTACTACATTCTAAATTCCTTAAATTAGAATTTCTTTATCCATAATAATTTATTCAACAAGGTTGAACTAAACGAACACTAAGCAAAACACCTAAAAGACGGGTACCGTTGATTCATTCATTGGTCTTGTATATATGTGCATTCATTAAATATATTAGAACCCTTTGCAACAAAAATAATTGGTTACTATTTAAAAAAAAAATTAATAACAATTATAATGAATCTCATATATTACATTGTATTCATATATACTATAAATTACATATTTAAATAAACAAATTATACATTAAATTACTTATGTTGAACTTCTCATATATAATCTTGTATTGATATACTTTCAAATATTTATTTAATTATAAACATTGGGTATAAAAAGTGACCGTCAAATTATTAAATCAAATGAATAGTTCAGGTTGTTCAGATTTTAATTTTTCCTAAAGGAGCAATCGGATACCATTGGACCACAAAGTCCTTGGTATTTGGTTTCAACCATACCCATACAATTATTTTATTGACAATTATAATCAATCTTGACTATATTATCTTGCATTTTGTAAACTTAGAATTACCAATTTAAATATGCAAATTCAACATTCAATTATCTATGCATGAACAATTCCAATATAATCTTGTCTTGATATACTTTAGAATACTTATTTAATAAAAATATTGGACATTATCACAATCGCGCAATGCGCGTAAAAAACTAGTTATATATTAAATAAATATGAAACTTTACCAATAAATTTGAACACAATAAATTTTTTTCTATACTTCATTATGCTTTAATATATAGAGAGATAAAGCTATAATAATAAAATATAATTTATAAAATATAAATACACATAATAACTTTAAAAAATATATGTATAAACATCTACCCACAGAATTAATGCATTCATCTTGTTTCTATTAAAATGCATTCACACTTTGGAGTAAAAATTTTGTGGCTAGATTTGCTAAAGATAAAGAAAAGATTATATATAATATAAAGATATATATATATATATATATATATATATATATATATAGTGAAAAGTTCCCGTGCGGTTGTGCGGTTATTAATGTGCGTGAGATTTGTACTCAATGTGCGTGAGTGTTGTGTCTAATGTGCCTGAGATTTGTACTTAATGTGCGTGAATGTGTAAAATGCAGCAGAAAATAAGCTTCTTCCACATCCCCAGCACTGCTTCCCAAAGTGAATAGTGTATTGCTCTGCTTTACTGATGTTTACAATGAAATAAAAGCTTCCCAAAGTCATGAATACACAAATTCTATCCTTATCAATGGTCTATGCAGACCAATCTTGGTGCGAGAATCTGGAACTTCTGTTGTTTGCTTCAATTTCATCATGTCAGATTTGTTTATTTATTTATTTATTAATTGATTTATTCTGCTATGGTGAAGGTGAGTATGGAGGACATAGAAAAACTAGTGGAAAGAAACAGAGAATTTTGATCTACTGGTGATTGGTCTGCAAGAAGTTCCTCGGATTAATATTACCAGATTGTTGAAAATTCTCTTATTAATCACGCACATTAAGCACAAATCTCACGCATATTAAGCACAATACTCTGGCACATTAAGTACAAAACTCACGCATATTAACATGATGCACATTAAGTACAAATCTCAAGCATATTGAGCATAACACTCACGCACATTAAGTATAAACCTCACGCACATTAATTCACCGCACAACCGCACGGGAAGCAACTAATGTACCTGATCCCTTCCATATATATATATATATATATATATATATATATATATATATATATATATATATATATATATATATATATATATACATCTACAATTCTAATAAGAGCCAATAATGTTAGGCCCTTAACTGGAACAAAAAAATGTCGGTCCTATTGTTTCTTAAAATGAATGGTTTATATTATTTTTATTTTAGTATTTTTTATTGATTTTCCTTATTTGCCTTCTATTATATTATTTTCTTCCCTTAAATAACCTAAATTCCGTTAACATAAACTTTAATAACGGAATATTCCGTTAAGTATTTATTATTTTAACTTACACATTAATTTCTATAAGAAAAGTCTTAGTTTCGAACCACATCCCAATTAGAGTTGGCATAATTGTTAAACATATACTACGAATATGTTAAAATATATTTAAAATATATATAATATAAAATTTAACATAAACTTTGTTCAAATAATTAGTCTGACTAAATACATAACATTCAAAGTTAAGCATAAAAGATTATAAATCAAGAACTTTAAAAATCATTTGATCAGAAAAAAACTTAATATTCTTTTGATTATTTAGATAAAAAAAAACTTAATATTTCAATTATACTTTTGCATTAATATTTTTTGTATGCATTTTTCAAAAAAAAAAAAATCAATGATTGCATTATTGTTGATGAAAAGTATATACGCCACTTTATTACTCTTATTAAACTAAATAAACTAGTAGCTACAACAAAAAATAATACATATGCATTTAATTAATTTAGAATTAGATGTCTATAATGCCTTTATTTTAAAAAAAATTATTCATTATAAAAAATTTAAAAATAGATATAATTTCATTAATTATACTATCTTTATTTTCTACCATTCAAAGATTCATTACCTTCAAATTTATCAATTTATTATATTCACTGCATTGTCTATTGTTTGTTTGTTTGTTTTTTTTTTTTTACATTATTTTGTAATTAAATATCAAAGTTATAATACAAAATACATTATATATATATATATATATATATATATATATATATATATTTATTTACCAAGTATTTTATACAAATATAATAAATATTAATATTTTGTTCAATACTTTCACATGATAACTTACGACACACATCTCACAATGCATGAAACATGTAGGGGAAAACTACCACTACCAAATATCGATTAGAAAATTCAATAAATATTATCTTGCATTTATATATTTTGAATTACCGATTTAAATAAACAAATTCAATATTTATTTACATATGTATGAACATCTCCGATATAATATTGCGTTGATATACTTTGAAATATTTATTTAAAAATAATCATTGAGCATTATCCCATTCGCGCAAAACGCGTAAAAAAAACTAGTATATATATATGCATTGGGAATTGGTAATGTAATAATAATGTCTTGAAGACATTAAATTTGTGTTGGAAATTGATTATGTAATAATAATGGTTACTTTTTTGAGTAAAAAAAATTGAACAACCAATTAAGTCAAAATATTATTTCACAAGCAATGAATTAAAAATATTTTCACTTTTCTTTTCACACTTTTGCATACAAGACTTCAAAACTATGTAAGTAGTATTGAGTGGTAAAATTTATTTTTTCATTTATTCAACAAATGCTTTTGTTTAAATGTATAGATGTATAGAAAATAGATAGATAAATAGGTTGTTTCATACTATCTATTTGTTTTAATCTTATCTATTACTCTATTAATTAGATATTCTAAATCGGTTCTTAGCTTAAATTATTTTGTGTGAACAAGTTAACACGATAATATTAACATGTTAAACAAGTTCTTAATATGTTTAACGAGTTAGTCTGTTAAAATACAAAACATAACTCGCACGAGTTTAGCTCAATGGTTTAGTGGGCAGTATTTGGGGTAAGAGGCCAAGGTTCGAATCACGCAGTGTGGGAATTATATCCAAAGTGGGCAGATTCCTTATGCGTACTGGCATTTGACCATGCCTACTAGCCCAGTGTGGGAATTATGTCCAAAGTGGGCAGATTCCTTGTGCGCACCGGCATTGAGTCACCGTGATTTACATGCTCTGGGCAGATTCCTTGTGCGCACCGGCATACTAGCCCAGTGTGGGAATTATGTCCAAAGTGGGGGCAGATTCCTTGTGCGCACCGGCATACTAGCCCAGTGTGGGAATTATGTCCAAAGTGGGCAGATTCCTTGTGCGCACCGGCATTTGGCCCTGCCTACTAGCCCATTGAGTCACCGTGATTTACATGCTCTGGGCAGATTCCTTGTGCGCACCGGCATTTGGCCCTGCCTACTAGCCCATTGAGTCACCGTGATTTACATGCTCTGGGCAGATTCCTTGTGCGCACTGGCATATGCTCTGTGGGGACTAGGACCCAGGAATACACCGGCATTTACATACTAGGAGATTCCTTGTGCGCACCGACACCGGCATTTACATGCTCTGGTGGGGACTAGGAGATTCCTTGTGCGCACCGACACCGGCATTTACATGCTCTGGTGGGGACTAGGAGATTCCTTGTGCGCACCGACATGCTCTGGTGGGGACTAGGACCCAATTTTTGTGTTCGATTCATTGTGTTATCATTACTCTTTGTATAAAACCCTAGCAACTACTAATCAAATATGCATACAATTTTATTTATACGAAAATCATGTCTCTACTCACGCGAGTATTCTATTTATACGGAGCATTATTCATTGTTATTTTACTAGAGTAGCATGAAAATGCAACGTTAAAATTGATTTTGAAATCAAATTTGATTTCAAAAATTTTCTTTGAATGTTACCCCAAATTGACATAAATACACCCTACGGTCCCTTTGTGTCGCCGGCCCCTCTTGCCCCTCGCGCGGCTCCTTCCTGTCTCCTCTGAAACACAGTTTCACTGCCTTTCAAATTCCTGGTTGATTACGTATCTATAGACTATACGGGGACAAATTGGCGTATACATTTGGAGAAATTGTTTCTTTTCCCTTTTCCGAAGGGTGGGCTAGAAAGCCCTAATTTTCCATATCTGGCTATTGGGATTTAGGGTTCTTGAGCACTTGGAAAACTATATAGAAGACGGGTTTTAGTGTTTTTAGTCTCCAGGGCCCGGGAAGGATAGTTTCGGAGCTGATAAGTGTATGCGCATGTCAAATTTTCTGCACTTGCAGGCGTGTTAGGGTGTAGATTCTGGGAATTTGGCGTGCAGGGCAGCTGTGGTGGATTTTGCGATGGACGGGAGGAGAATAACGGCGAGTCCGAGGCCGTGCAGCGGGCGGCGAGTGGTGGCTAAGAAGCGGCCGCGTAATGGCATGGATGGGTTCGTGAATAGCGTCAAGAAGCTTCAAAGGCGGGAGATCTCTTCGAAGCGTGACCGGGCTTTTAGTATGAGCGATGCCCAAGAGCGATTTCGGAACATTCGATTGCAGGTTCGCTTTATTATTTTCTCTTAAATTTTCAAATTCAGTTCATTTCCTTGCTCATCTGTTAAGGCCGGGACTGAATCTTTTGAGTGATAGTCAGATTAGACTGAGCTAAATAATGGGTTTAGCTTGATAAGGAGGAAATTATTAAAAAGAAGGGGTTTTTTTCCCCTTTAGATGACCTCAAATTTTAGTGGTGTTCCAGGAAACCCTTGTTTAAAGTATAGAGGTGTTCCAGAAAACTTTGAACAATATCCTGAGAAAGGACTGTGAATCTAAGGTGCATGAATAATCTTGAAATTGTTTTCATAGTTTCAGAGTTTGAAGAGAATCAATTGAACTTGACTATGAATGAGTAGATTTTACTGTTATGTGGATAAGCTTTCTTATTTTTATTTTATTTTTGTGTGGTGGGTGTAGGGCAAGATTTAAAGGGTGGGTTCAGTAAGTCGTCTGGTTCTGTTTGGATTTTCTTTCAAATGCTATGATACTTAGATATATATATTATTAGTTCCCTGTTCTTACTTAGGTGCATGCATCGTCACTGTTTTTGTATTGTATACATCATAGTATCTTACTACTACATTATGTTCCATAACAGACAGACCCATATACCCTTGTCGGTGGTAGTTTAATTCAATTCTTGTAAATTGTGTATGTGCTCCAGGAGGAATATGATACTCATGATCCTAAAGGACATTGTTCCATGGTACTTCCATTTCTGAAGAAAAGATCCAAGATTATTGAAATAGTTGCTGCACGTGATATTGTCTTTGCTCTTGCACATTCTGGTGTCTGTGCAGCATTTAGCCGTGGTAAGACAATGCTACTTGATCTTTGTTTAACGTTCCTGTTTCATTTTTCTTTAAATTCTTTTGGGCAAACATGTTTTCGGTTTTCCCAAATGTTTACACTGTATTGGGGCTTATATGCTTTTATTATTGTTGATGCAGAGACCAATAAGAGGATATGTTTTCTGAATGTCAGCCCGGATGAAGTGATACGGAGTTTGTTCTATAATAAAAACAATGATTCTCTCATCACTGTTTCAGTTTATGCTTCAGATAATTTTAGCTCTTTGAAGTGCCGGACCACGAGAATTGAGTATGCACTTTCATTTGTCATCGCTTAGTCGTATCACGTACATAGTATATTGTTCCTTTTACTGATATGTTGCATTCTTGAAAATGTTAGATACATAAGAAGAGGTAAACCGGATGCTGGATTTGCTCTTTTTGAGTCCGAGTCGTTAAAATGGCCTGGTTTTGTGGAGTTTGATGATGTAAATGGGAAAGTACTCACTTACTCTGCCCAGGATAGGTAGATGCTTAGTTAAAGAATCCCATCTATCTGCTACTTGAGACCTATATATACAAAATATACTTGGTTGCTTATTAGTTTAATTTTATATTTGATCAGCATATACAAGGTGTTTGACCTGAAGAATTATACGATGTTATACTCTATATCGGATAAAAATGTTGAAGAGATTAAAATCAGGTATGTAACTTTCAGTTCTCCAAGCATGTATATATAAATATTGTGTCTTTTTTTTTGTTAGACCACGAGGTGTCCTGAGTAGGCCCTAACTATAAGAGGTATCTTTAAGCCCGTACCATACTCGGACTAATCCCGGTTTGCACTTGGTCGGCCCAATTAAGGGGCAAAGTGCTGGCCAGATTGGTTTTTCCATAAGATAGGGGGTTCGAACTCCTGACCTCTCTTAAGGGATGAGAGTGCACGGCCACTCACGCCAACCAAACTGGTTGTTGTGTTGTATTTGTGAATCGGTCTTTAAGACGTCTATGTTACTGTTACATCCTAAGTTCACAACTGGTGGTGTTCTCGCCTATTTAATGTCCTATCTGTGCTTTTGAATAATAGTCCAGGAATTATGCTGTTGATATTTACCAAAGCTAGTGCCTATGTTCCCCTAAAGATTCTTTCTATTGAGGATGGGACTGTTCTCAAATCGTTCAACCATCTGCTTCATCGTAATAAGAAGGTCGACTTCATTGAACAGTTCAATGAAAAGCTACTTGTCAAGCAAGAAAACGAGAATCTTCAGATTCTTGACGTGAGTGATTTACTGCAATGCCCTTCCCCCCTTCCCCTCTCCAACCCACAAGTATTGTGAAAAACTAACAACTTTTAAATTTAGGTCCGCAATTCTGAACTGACGGAAGTCAGTAGGACCGAGTTCATGACACCATCGGCTTTCATATTTCTGTACGAGAACCAGCTATTCTTGACGTTCAGAAACAGAACAGTTGCCGTTTGGAACTTCCGTGGGGAGCTCGTAACTTCATTTGAGGATCACCTTTTGTGGCATCCAGACTGCAATACTAACAACATTTACATTACTAGTGACCAGGACCTAATCATCTCCTACTGCAAAGCTGATTCTGATGATCCTCTGTCAGAAGGAAATGGTAAGTTCGGGAAGACAGGCTGATTATTAGCACATATTTATTGACAACATTTAGGCATTTATGGAACATATCCTGAACAAAACAAGAATAGATTATGATCGTTCCTGTTGTCCCAGATTACTTTATCTTAGTTTCTAACATAGGTTTCTTTCTGTTTGAGCAGCTGGTTCTATCAATATCAGCAATATTTTGACGGGGAAATGCCTAGCCAAAATAAAAGCAACCAATGCTATTACCACAAGTAATTGCAATTGCAGTGCCGATTGTGGTGGCAGAAGTTGCAGATCTAAGCGAGTCCAAGTATCTAGAATTAGGAGCAGCGTAGCGGAAGCCCTGGATGATATCACAGCTCTCTACTACGATGAAGAGCGCAATGAGATCTATACCGGAAATAGGCTTGGACTGGTCCATGTGTGGTCTAACTAAAACTCGTTTCACCTCTGCTTTGACTGATGAATTCAAAATGCTTCCTTGTCACGAGAGGACATGTACCATTACACATTGAAACACCGAAGTGGAAGTGGCTACCCCCATATTTCGGCTTTCGGGTATACAAGACAAACGACCTATGTTTTCATTTGCATCATCTATATTTATATTTTAGGTTTATGTCTGTAGATAATTTGGTTTCTTGGGGGTATATGCCCCCTTCACTCCAAAATGAGACATAGATGATTTCTGGTGTTGTTAGATGTGTTGCTTCTGTAACTTTTAGTCTATGGACATTATTATGTGTAATGTGTTGTAGTGAAACTGAAATTTCAGTGTATTCAAATGGTTTTAAGCCTATAAAATTCATTTCTTGTGCCATGTTTATTGCTTTGCTCATGTTTTGGATCATTTAAAGCATTTATATATAATTATTATAATGGGTAGTAAGGTGGGTTGATGTTATGAGCTCTAAATTGGTGGGTGTGTTTGGTCAATTTTGTTAGACAATTACAATGACCTAACTAGTGTTATGCCACGTAATTACAACGACCTAACTAGTGTTATGCCTTGCAATTACAACGACCTAATTAGTGTTATGTCCTGCAATGTGGTAGTTCTGTTAGACAGTTACGATAACCTAACTAGTCCTACAATGTGGTAGGTAGTTCTGTTAGACAGCTATGACAATCTAACTAGTCTTACAATGTGGAAGGCTTAGTTAGGGATAGCTATGACAACCTAACTAGTCTTTCAGACAGCTACGACAACTTATTTAGAGACAGCTATGACAACCTAACTAGTCTTACAATGTGGAAGGTAGTTCTGTCAGACAGCTACGACAACTTAGTTAGAGACAGCTATGACAACCTAACTAGTCTTACAATGTGGAAGGTAGTTCTGTCAGACATTTACGACAACCTAGTTAGTTTTACAGTGTGGTAGGTATAAGTCAGACATCTACGACATCTTAGTTAGTCTTATAGTGTGGCATGTATAGGTTAGGCTAGTCCTATAACGTGACATACTAGCATCTACATGTTAATTTTGTCGATAGCTTCGATGACCTAGCTAGCCTAGTAGCCTTATAGAGTTATAGTGTGGTAGATGTAGGTCAATCTAATTTTGATCCACTTAATATAAGTGTGTTTAAATGAACAACATAAAAGATAATATTAATGGATGTCAAACGAATTTAAAAGGCAATTACTTAATATTTGTTAATCGTTATAGCTACGAGTTACGACATTTATTAATAGTACTAGTTTTTTACGCGCATTGCGCGATTGGGATAATGCCCAATGTTTTTTTTTTTTTTTTTTTTTTTTTTTTAAATAAGTACTTTAAAGTATTTTTTTTGAAAGGCAGAATTATATTGAAATTGTTCATTTTCAAAAAAATATTGAAATTGTTCATGCATAGATAATTGAAGGTTGAATTTGCGTTTTAAATAGGTAATTCTTCTCCCAAAGGTTGAGTCCTCAACTCCAAGGGCCCCCCAGACTCCGGCCCGACAGAGCATTGTGGGAAGTTGTAAATCACGGTGACTCAATGGTTCAGTAGACAGGGCCCCAGACTCCGGCCCGACAGAGCATTGTGGGAAGTTGTAAATCACGGTGACTCAATGGTTCAGTAGACAGGGCCAAATGCTGATACGCACAAGGAATCTGCCCACTTTGGACATAATTCTCGCACTGCCGCCGCCGAGGTTCAAACATTGGTCTCTTCTCCCAAATACTACCCACTAAACCATTGAGCTAAGCCCGTGCGGGTTAAGTTCGGGTAATTCTCAGTTTACAAATGCAAGATAATATAATCAAGATTGATTATAATTGTCAATAAAATAATTGTATATGTATAGTTAAAACCAAATACGGGACATAAGGGAGAACACATAAAAATTAGGGCATAAAATATTAAATATATACTAATATTGTTTGAGGAGATTCCGACATTAAGATTTGTGGTTAAGTTCTATTAATACTTTAATATTAGAATTAGATTAATGGTGTAGTTATAATTCTATATTAGACTTTAATATTAGAATTAGACTAACGGTGAATTAACGGAAAAGTTAAATGGATAATCATATAATTAAGGATAAATTAGAAAATCTTAAAAGAAAAAAATTATAACCTGAACAATATGAACCATTCATTTGATTTAATAATTTGGCGGTCATTTTTTTCTACCCAATGTTAATAATTAAATAAATTCGCTGGTCAAATCCGCTAGTATAATCCGCTAACTGCTGATTGTCAAACAAGGACATTGCGAGGTAGTTCTCACTTCAATTTGTTGTGTGATTTGAATACTCTCTTTGTCACAAAATCTCTCAAAGTAGTTAATATGGTTGACTTTATTAATTATATATTTTTTAATTTTTTCATGGTATTAATAAAATACTTGGTAAATAAATATATAACATTATTTTGTATTATAACTTTGATATTTAATTAGAAAAATAGTGCACAAAAAACATAATAGATAATGTAGTGAATATAATCAATTGATGAATTTGAATGTAAAAATTTTTACATTTGAGAAAAATAAAGACAATTTAACTAATGAAAATATTTCTTTTAATTAATTTATTGATAATTAATAATTTTTTTTCACTGAATAAAGACATTGTAAGGACAATGTAGCGAATATAATCAATTAATAAATTTGAATATAAAGAATTTTTATATTGAAGAAAAATAAAGACAATATAACTAATAAAATTATTTCTCTTATTTAATTTATTGATAATGAATAATTTTTTTTTTTTGAATAAAGGCATTGTGGACACATAATTCTAAATTAAAGAAATGCATATATATTATTTTTTGTTGTAACTACTAAATTATTATTTATATAATTTAATAAGAGTAAAATAGAGTACTAATTATGCCAACTTTGATTGGGATGAGGTTCGAACCTAAGACCTTTTTTTTTTTTTTATTGAAATCAATGAGTAAGTTAACGGTGAACTAACGGCAATTCTTAAAATTTTAACGGAATTAGTAACGGTGTGTGGGTATTTTAGGAAATTTAGTGTAAAATTTAAATCTGATCAATCTTTTAATCAATCTGAGCCATTCATTTGATTAAAATCTGTGACCGCCATTTTTTCTACCAATTATAGGCCTAACTCTATTGGGCTCTTATTAGTATATATATATATATATATATATATATATATATATATATAGTAGATAGTAGACATTTGTATAAAAGCCCTTGTTCAATTCAATGATGTAAATTGTGAACTAAGAATGCCTGGCACCAAGACATAACAGCTATTTGACACAATTTGAAGTCAAGAAAATAATAATTAATGTTTTGAAGAAATAGTCATTATCAACCTTAATTTTTTCAAAGACCAACTTTGAGTAATCTAATGTAGGATGTTAGCAAGTCATCAAAGTAATCAACGGCGTTCTTGTCGGTGAAGATGAGAGTGAGAGCATAGTTGTTGAATGTCAAGTCATTTTGAAACGAGAAACCTCGAATCAAGTTGGTTCGACATTTAATTTGATAACTGTAAGGTTTTACATTTTATTTTCTGTTGGAGTTATTTATTGATCTTCTTAGTTTGGGTTGATCAAAGTTATAAGGTGAGCTTTACTTAGAATACACCTGGGAGTAAATTATGCTGTGGAATCGTGTTCACCTTGCAAGGTGAACACAGTTCTAAAACTGTTCATTATTATGAATATATAGTTCAAAAGTTATGAACATATAATTCTATAATTATGAACATAGAGTTGTGAACTCTGTAATTATGAATATAGAGATTCAATAATTGTAAATATGAAGTTCAAAAATTATGAATATATAACTTTATATTATGAACATATAGTGCAGTAATTATGAACATAGATTTCTGTAATTGTGAATATAGAATTCAATAATTATGAATATGAAGTTCAAAAATTATGAATATATAGCTTTATAATTATGAATATATAGTTCAGTAATTATGAACATAGAACCATGTCCACCTTGCAAGGTGGACACGGTTCCACAACATAATGGGGTTGGAGTATCTTGTGGTCCTTTATCAACTAGGGTTACAAAGCGGGTTTCACCTAGAATGCACCTGAGTGCACCTTGTGATCATTTATCAGCTAGGATTATAAGACAGACTTCACCCAAATATATTTGAGCGCACCTCCAAATAGCGTTGTGAATTTTCTCGTAAACCAAAGTCATTTTCAAACCTTGAGGATATTTTCTTCAATTATTCATTGTCTCTTTCATACAAATTAATTTTCTTCTAATTTCAAGTAACACATTAATGTTACATTTTTCATTCTCTTTAATGTTTTTAATGAATTTGGTCCAAGACTCAATAATGAAGCTATGCAATTAATATTCGTGTAGCTGATTGATATTGAAGAGATTTAAGAAAGATGTTTAAAATCATAAATTGTTAGTTATTTCAAGAGTCTGACTTAAAATTTATATTTTAATTTTTCATTAGTTGATTTACGTTGGTTAAGATCGAAATGAATATTTTTTCTAATACTTACATGTGAAATTAATCAATATAACAAGATTATACATCTAATGGCTTACACGGGCTTAACTTAATGGTTCAGTAAACAGTATTTGAGAGAATAAACCAAGGTTCAACGACAGTAGTGTGGGGATTATGCACAAAGCGGGCAGATCTTGTGCCCAACGACATTTGACCATATCTGTTGAACCATTAAGTTATCGTGATTTACATCCACATAAATGCTCTATCGAGTCTTGGGGTTGAAGATTTAACCTTTTGAGAAAGGATTATACATCTAATGTGTCATTCTTTTTCTTAGTAAGGAAACTTGGAGCACCAACTTTATAAAATTGTTGAGGATGAAATAAAAATGTTGTAGTGTCACTTTCTTGATTTGTTTAGGGGACGTAGTACTCTGATGGCTGATGATAACTATTGAGAAGGACCACACAATTTAACTAAAGCTGAAAAAAAAGATTGCACATAAGGTATGGTCCTCAAGTTATAAGATAATAATGAATTGAGACGATCAGACAATTAATTTGACATTATAATATTTCAAGTTTGACTTTTTATGAGTTGTCTATTAACTTAATTGGATTGAACTAATTAACTATCGACAATTTAGATTAATTTATCTCTTTGTAGTTCTGTTATCGATTAAGATCAGAATGTTTGCTTCACATTGAGCTCACCCTTAAATAACGATAACGTGTTTTTCTGTAAATCAAGGATAATAACAAATTTAGCACTTAAATGAGAATCTTGTTGTTGTGTTAAAATTATTATTTTGAAAATCTGTATAATGCTGTTTAAAAAAAACAATTAAAATTTTGAAACCATAATAAAAAAGTGTTAGGTGCAATAATAAACTCATCATATCATATCTATCCTCTCATCCTCAGATTTCTCTCTCATGTTTTGTCCTTTTCTTCTCCTTCACACTCCAAAGGCCTAAGCTTTTCTCTGTGCTTTCCATCTTCAGGCTCCATAATAGGGAGCAATAACAAAATTTTATTAAATAAAAAAAAAAAAGGAAGAAAACAAAAATAGTAGAAAATAAAGAGAGAGAAAAAATGACACTTTTATTTTGGGGTTTTAGCTCCAAATTCCATTTGAATTCTCACCAAAGCCTCCCTCTCTGAGCTTTCTTCAGCTCCATTATTGAGTAAGCTCACCCTCTCTCAAACTTCTTGCAATGCTTTCTCACACACACACACACATATATATGTTGAATGTATCTGCATGTATTATCCAATACCCATATATTAGATCCAAGGAGTAGGAGGGGGGACTCATGGGTGATATAATTCTTGAAATTTTTTTGAATTTTGGTGATGGGTATGAACAGTTTAGGAAAACTGTGCTGTCTTTGTCGGTAGGCTTGGAGTCTTGTTGTTTTCTTGCAAAGTTTGGATTTTTTTTCTTTCTTAGGTTAGAATCCTGAATTTGGTGTTTTGTTTTGTTTTGTTTTCCTTTTTGTTGGCATGTTGCCCTGTTGGTAGTTGGATTTGTGGATCTTATTGCTGTTTGGTTGGTTGTTCATAGCCATTTTGAAGGCAGAGTGGTTCTTATCTTTATCTCCTGAAATTGGTAATTTCTTCCAACATGACAAAATCTTTTGAGGACCACAAGTTTTGATTAAGCACTTAAGCAGTGCTGTGATTTGATTAGCTTTAAATGATAATCTAATGTAGTTATGTAGCCATGTCCATCTTCACATGGTCTTCAATGAATGAAATTGCATGCCTGATCAGGTCTTCTTGAATGCAGTGAGATGAGATTTTGGGGGTGCTGCTAAGAGAGAGCTTAAGAATTCTCATTCTGTGATTGCACATTCAAAGTCTGCAGTTGTTAGGATTCTTGTATTGAGGGAACAGGATGGTGGACTATATCGAATTTCGGGTTTTTCCAAGCCAGAATAGGTAATGGTTGTCTTCTTAAACTCTTTCACTGATTCATCTAGTGGGATCCATCATGAATCTTGTTGGGCGGAGGCCTGAAGGGTCAAGTCTAGCATCAGGTGGCTAGGGGATTGTTGGGCAGAGACCTGAAGGACCAAGTACAGCACCAGGTGGTTAGGTGATTGTTAGGCGGAGGCTTGAAGGGCCAAGTCCAGCACAAGGTGGCTAGGGGGATTGCCGGGCGGAGGCCTGAAGGGCCAAGTCCATCACCAGGTGGCTAGGGGATTGTTGGCGGAGGTTTGAAGGGCCAAGTCCACCACCAGGTGGCTAGGGGAATTGTTGGGCGGACGCCTAAAAGGCAAGTCCAGTACCCTGCCTTTCGAAATGTGGCGCTAGCTGCTACGCAGGTATAAGGAAATAAAGTTGCGTCTTTGCCACTAGCTATAACTTTTGGCGTAGTGGTAAGCGTTTGATCCTAACAAATCTCTCAGAAGCAATTTTCAGTAAGTTCTTGAGTTCAGATGTATGCTGATTCTGGGCTTTGCTAGAATGAAATTTTTTTGTGTTCTTTTGAATCATGAGTGTTCATGTTGGTAGATATGAGGCTTGCATTTGTTACCACAACAAGATAGAGACTGTTGCTTCTGGAGTTCTGGAGCCACTGGCTATGCAGTCTCCCAAAATCAAAGCTTTATGCTCAAGAGGATCAGATGAAACCTTCAAACTTCAACCACCAGAGAATCTTGATGATGCTAAGTGGTTTACAAGATCTGCTTTAATGAGGTTTCTTTTACCCTCACTTTTTTTCATAACGCTGTTTGTGGGCGACGAATTGTTTCATAACACTGAATCCCTATTCTTGTCAGATTTGTTCATATTATCAGTTCATCAGAAGTTCAGGATAAGGTCAAGGCTATGGAAAATGAGATATCTCAGCTGGAAGAATCCTTAAAATTTCATGCTTCTATATATGAAAAGGTGATCCATTTTCCCCCTTCAAACTGATTTCCAGATTTTAGACAAAAGGAAGAGACTGAAATTTGAGTATGTTACCTTAACAGGCTGATGATACTTACGTCGCACCAGATTCTTCCAAGTATGTCTAAGAACTCGTTGGCTTTGATTACGGATACCTTGCTAGAATCTTCGGTAATCTTTATGATGAACAGGAACGAATTACTTCGGGCGATGGAGTTGAGACTCACAACATTAAGAGGAGAGTTGGAGAGTGCTTGGTACCAAGCTGCTGGTTCTTCTGAGGAAATTACTGCCATTCTGAAGTTCTGTCATCATTTTGGAGCTCTCGACTTGAGGTAAGTCTAGGCACGGTTAGGGGTCCCCGGGGGACATCTGGTAGATGTGTTTCAATATCAGTTTAAACTTTTAGTCGAGACAGAACGATGAATACGACTCTAATAGTTCTATCAGAGTTGACTTGAGGTAAGTCTAGGCACGGTTAGGGTCCCCGGGAGGCATGTGGTAGATGATGTTTCAGTATCAGTTTAAACTTTTAGTTGAGACAGAACGATGAATACAACTTGACTTGAGGTAAGTCTAGGCACGGTTAGGGTTCCCCGGGGGCATCTGGTAGATGATGTTTCAGTATCAGTTTAAACTTTTAGTTGAGACAGAACGATGAATACAACTTGACTTGAGGTAAATCTAGGCATGGTTAGGGTTCCCCCGGGGGTATCTGGTAGATGATGTTTCAGTATCAGTTTAAACTTTTAGTTGAGACAGAACGATGAATACAACTCGACTTGAGGTAAGTCTAGGCACGGTTAGGGTTCCCCGGGGGCATCTGGTAGACGATGTTTCAGTATCAGTTTAAACTTTTAGTTGAGATAGAACGATGAATACGTTCTTCTATCTTTGTGTCAGCAACTCCCTGCAGAAGGTTCTTGGGTTGAGCCAAGAGGACATGCCTGCAAATGTAGCAGATGTTAAGGATTCTGTCCCGGAAACCGGTCCAACACAATCAGAAACACCTGTTATATATGGTGCCTCTCCTGCAAAAGCTGCCCAGATTGAGAGGCAAAGCTCATCAGAAGGGGAGGAGTCTTCATGCATCAGTGAGGAGGATCAACCGTCAGTGGAACGAAGCCGGCCCCTAACGCGATCTGCCTCGCCACGACGGTCTGCTTCTCCAATGCGACGAATCCAGATAGGGCGGTCTGGCACCCGAAGGTCCACCGCTTTAACCATCAAGAGCTTGAGCTACTTCCCCGCCAGCAGAGAAAAGCTAGCCTTTCAAGAGAAAAGCGACGAGGAAGAATCCGAGCAAGCCTCGAGAATGAGTGTGCAGGACAGGATCAGTCTCTTCGAGGGCAAACAGAAAGCTCAAACCGAGAAGACGAAATCAGTAGTACTAAATGCTGCTCCTGTGATGGCTGCAAATAAAGCTGTTCTGAGAAGATGGAGTTCAGGGATAATGGGTGATTCTAACTCTTCTGATAATCCTCCTTCCATCGAGTCGGGACAAGAAATTCTGAGAGTCCTTCCCCCCGATTCGTGTACTAGTGGCCTTCCCCCCGAGAAACCTGATATGGAGGAAGATGATCTCCCGGTCCCGAGAGAAGAAGGTAACGAAATGGAAGCTGCATTAACCGAGAGGACTTGCCAGAACGACGAGGAGGTAAGCCCGCCTCAGATTGCCATAACGAACACCCAGCCTGCAGAAAGTGAAGGTCTTAATGATGGCAAAGACACAAGCTTTCCCAGTGAGCAGGCCGTTCGTCCTTCCAATCATCATTACAACCAAAAGAGGAACGAGCAGAAGCTTCGAGGTGAGACTGATAGAAAGCAAGTAGAGAGGAAAAATCCCAGAAGTAATCTTGATGAAGGAATAGCTGGAAATTCAAAGAAAACCCAAAGAACACTGAAGAATTCGCCTCAGTCTGCAAATCCAAAAACCGAAACTTCAAAACCGAGTGTTGTGAAGAAAGTTTCGAGTGCAAAAGCTTCACCTTTGCCTGCCACACGTAAATCATGGCCATCAACACCATCACCGAGAGCTACCGGGGCATCACAAGTTAAAACTCCATCACCGAGAGCGATTCCAGCCACCAGAAGATCAAAGCCGACACCATCAGTTCCTCAATCAAGCCAAAAACTCGAAAGATCACAACAGCCACACCCGACGTCTGTGAAAGCATCCCCAAGTGATACTAGGAAGAGTGTGAAAAGCTTGATAAGCCAACAAACAAAAACCAAAGTTAAGGCTAACGAGGTAACCAAGAAAAGCAGCATGGCTCCTCTCAAACCAAACGAACCAGCTAAGAAACCAAGGCCTTTTCTCCATAAGGACTCAAGGACTGGAGCCAAAGCAAAAAATTCTCCACCATTAGATCCTTTGAGGGACTCAGTGGATTCGGGTAGAGCTAAAGAGAACGAGATGGCTTCTGTTGTTTATGAACAGGTGCATCAACAAGAGGATACCAATCTTGAAACAGAAACACAGCTAAATAGCCCACAGAAACACGAAGAAACAGGAAGTTCTAATCCAGTTACTTCCAACAACGAAGTTGATTTCCAAAGTTCTGCAGTAAAAGACGAATCTGAAGATGAACCTAACATTTCCCCCGAAGCTTGGACAAAAATAGAAGAGCACGAAGATGAACAGATTCCATCCAATACGACTGCTAGCCAAAGTGAATCTCTCCCAACTGAACCCGAAAGTGCTGCAATTCCTCATCCCGAGAGTGATGTAGCCTGGGGGAATGAAGAGAATCCTCCTACAATGGTCTATCAAAAGGACGCGCCCAAAGGACTGAAAAAGCTTCTAAAGTTTGCTAGGAAGAGTAAAACCGATGCAAACACAACACGTTTGTCAAGCCAGTCTGTCATAGAGGAAACCATAGCTCTTAGTAAGAAGGACGGTGACAAGAAGGCCACATCTCATACAAAGAACTACGGGAATAAAAATGCTTTATCAAGTGAATCTCGGGTTTCTGGTATGCCCTTTACATTCCCTACATTTAAGTTTCGATTCTTGAATGCTGATAGTAGAAAGCAACAACATTTGCAGCTCAAGCAACTAAAGGCAAACTAGTTTCCCAAACCAAATCTCAGAAACTGCCAGAGGGCACAAAAGGTCACTGCTTATTTCTCCTTTACTCTTCTTTCCAAATATCGGTTTCCCTAAAACTCCAACCTTGTATATATACTGTATCCTAGGATGCATCTCTGTTTCTTTAATATTCTCAATGTTTTGCTTTTCAGCAACAAGATCATTTTTCTCTCTTTCAGCATTCAAGGGGACCAAGCAGAATGATCCACTGGTTCATTGACAACCAAGTTCAGAATGCTCGAGTGCTCGCTAAGGTGGTTGGGATGTTGGATAGTGTAGCGTGCAGTGTACATAGTGTGCTTCTATGTATTTAACATATCAACTTTGTAACCAAATATTTCATCCATGGAACAGTATTGTCTCTATATGTATCAAGAATTCAAGACAACCTTAGCCTTTTTGCTGCAGCAATATATCATTTGTCTATCAAAATATAGTCTTAGGTAGTCATTTCATAGAATTCAAGACAACAAATCATCTGCACTTGCCCTATCTAGCATTCTGTTTGTGTGTTAGATCATCTTCTCCAAATATGATTCAGATTGGAGTTGTTTACATGCTGGTTTGAGTCAAATGTTATTGCCAAAATAAGTACACCAAAATGTAGCTTTTAAAATCTTTGCTTTCTTTTCTTTTTATTTTATGCTTTTAAAAGGGAATACATATAGCCAAGCCTCGGTCGGGAACAACTTTTTCAAGAATGTTGTTGCATACAGGGACAATTCTAGCCAAGCTAGTTAAGTTGTTGACTTGGTAATTACAAAGTTATAAATTTAACTTCAACTTTTTAAAGAATGTTGTTGCATACGGGGACAACCCAAGCAAGTTAGTCAAGTTGTTGACTTGGTAATTACAAAGTTACAAATTTAGCTTTTAGCAGAAGCGGCTTATTAACTTTCTTGGTTTGAGCCGATTAACTATGGACAACTTAGGCTCGTTGTGGTCCTTTTTCCATTTGTCGTCTAGGGTCACAACATGGGATTTACCAGTCACTGATTTTCCTTGTCACTCAAAAAAAAAAAAAAAAAAAAAAAAGCAAAAACTTGTGTGAGACGGGTCAGGTCAAGATGAAAATGTAATACTTATACGCACATATGTTATACTTATATGCTAAAATGTAATACTAATCAAGAATAAAAAATTTATTACTTATAAGGGTAAATGTAATACTTTTATATTTCGATTTAAAAATATTACATTTTTCCTCAAAAATATTATATTTTCCCTAAGTAAGGGGTACGTGCCAACATTACTTATTATGAAAACTATAATACTTTTGATGGAAAATATAATATTTTTACATCAAAATACAAAAGTATTACATTTTTCTTATAAATAACAAAATTTTTTTTATTCATGATTAATATTACATTTGAGCATATAAGTATGACTCGACCTGACATGTCTCACGAATAAAGATTTGTGAGACGGTCTCACACAAGTATGTACAAATTATATCGTGCATCAGGGTGCACAATGCATTATGCGCTCTAAGAGTTTATGTGTATTATGTTAAGAGTTTATGTGTATTATATGAACAGTTCATGTGTATTATGTTAAGAGTTTATGTGTATTATGTTAGATTATGTGTATTATGTTAGAAATTTATGTATATTCTACTATACAATTATGTATATACGAACATCGGATTTTTGCATTGTGCGCCCTGGTGCACGATATAACAATTGACAAGTATGACCCAAAAAAGAATGTTGTTGCGTACATATATGTTTCACTTATATGCATACGTGGCAAATACTGGAAAGAAAAAAAAAGTGAACACAATCTTCTTCAATGACCTTAAGATAATCCAGTGTCTCCTTGGACAAGAGAGTCAAAATTTTCATCAAGAATTGTAATTTTAAAGATTTTGGCTCGAAATAAGCATCGAGTATAAGAGTGCAAGAAGCCGTGTCTTCATTCTTCTTTTTTTGAAAAGTTTCTTCATTCTTCTTCATCTTCTTCTTCTGCTCCTGTGAAGGCAATTGCTCTCTTTCTCAAAGAACATTTCAAGAATGGATCAGAAATCTCTTGAAAGACTGCAATCCCATTGGTACTATCCCACCCGTCTCCTCAGCACTCCCACAGAATACGATTTTCCTGTACTCAACACTCTCTTTCTCCATTTTCTTACACAGTTTGTCTGTTTGACATCAAAGTTCTTGCTTTTCTGATGATTTTTTTGGGGTCATGAATTGCCAAGTGCCAATGGGTTTTGATTTTCTTTGATGAAGGGAGACAGATTCATACCAAATCGAAGTCTAATGGATCTTGATCGAGCCCACACTCTGTTGACTAACCCATCAAAAGAACTGGGCAAATCAAAGTACAATGTGAGTATGTCTTTCTTGATTAGTTTGAATGAATGCTTTTGGTTTCTGCCCATTTCTGGAAATTGGGAATTATGGGTTTCCCCCTTTTGTATGAAGGGTGAATACAGAAGGAGACTGGAAGCAGCTTTGAAGTTGGATGAAGAAGGAAGGCCATTCAGAATGTTGGTGTTCAGGGGGAGTCCTAAGGGCAGCAGAAAATCAATTCGAGAAATTGATGAAATGCGTCGCAGTGATGAGGAAAGCTTTTCATGTACCGATGTCAATAAACAATCCCGAGCTTTCCCCAAGGTAAACATTCTTGCTGTTTTGCTATTCAGAATCATCTGAGGCTTCTGAGATGAGCAACCTGTTCAAAAATGTTAGTTTCAAGAATCAAAATCATGCCTGAAATTCTTAAGAATCAGCTGTAGCTACAAAAGGAATCTTGCCCCTAAAGGTTGAATCCCCACACCCCGGCCCGACAGAGAATTTGGGAATCAGCTGTAAATCACTCGGTGGCTCAGCAGACATGGCCAAATGCCGGTGCACAAATACTGCCTATTGAACTAGTGAGCTAAGCCCGTGAGGGCAGCTACAGAAGGAATATGTTTTCAGAAGATCTGGTGCGAGATGATAATATGAATGGTGTTTTATGGATTCTGTGATAATGATATGTATATGGTTGGATATGCAGAATGCGAGTAGGATTCTGGATGCACCCAACTTAAGGGATGATTACTATTTGAACATCATAGATTGGGGGAGAACAAATGTTCTTGCCGTGGCTTTGGGCTCAGTGACATACCTGTGGAATGCCACCAACCATGGAATTCAGCAGTTGGAAGAGGAAGAGGATAATCAAGACGATTATCCGAGCAGTATTGCATGGTCTACTGATGCAAAAACATTAGGAGTTGGATGCGCAAGCTCCAAGATTCAGCTTTGGGATGCCGAGACTTCAAAGATTGTAAGACCTATCTCTGAAAAAACATTATGAATATAAGAGAACCCTTCCACATAACCTTATTGGTGATTTTCTGAAACAGGTAAGATGCCTGAAAGGCCATGAGGGGAGGGTTGGATCTATAGCATGGAATGGTCATGTTCTAACATCAGGAAGCTACGACAGATCCATTATTCATCATGATGGTAATTGGTAAATGGTTTTCAACATCTTTTATTGCTTATGACAACAAATTAACTAACTTGTTTCACCTCTACTATTGGCAGTGAGAGTGAGCAACAGCTTGATATCTCTTCTAAAAGCACACACACGAGAAGTCTGTGGCTTGAAGTGGTCTGGAACGGGCAATTTTCTCGTGAGTGGTGGGAATGACAATCTTGTTTATATATGGGATACTTTCAAGATGAGCTCGAGGGATTATTTGCATAGATTCAATGATCATTCTGCAGCAGTGAAGGCCCTTGCATGGTGTCCATATAACTACGATGTGTTAGCTTCTGGAGGAGGGACGTTTGATGGGTGCATTAAGATGTGGAGCATTAGAAAGGGAGCATGCATTAGCAGCACTGAAACCAGAGCACAGGCAAGTTCTTGCATAAATATTTTCACCGTTAAAATATACAGATGAAGTAAAAAATAACTAAACTGTTTACCTTTCTCGAAAAACTTGGTGAGGTGACCAGATCTGTGGGTTGCAATGGAACAAGCATCATAAGGAGCTACTAAGCGGCCATGGCTTTGGAGAGAGGGGCGATGGAACAGGGAAGTTATGCTTATGGAGGTATCCTTCCATGTCCAAAATATGCGATTCATGGAATCATGCCTCGAGAGCTCTACATCTCTCACAGGTTTGTGTGTGTGTGTGTGTGACTATGTTCTTTTGAATGGAATGAGAACTATAGTCTGAAAATAACAAAGCGTATTACATTGCAGAGCCCTGATGGATTGACTGTGGTGTCAGCCGGAGCAGATGAAACTCTTCGCTTCTGGGAGATTTTTGGCCCGCCTCAAGCTGACAAGTCAAGGACGTCGGATTTCGATAATCTTCTATCTCTGAAGACATCACCAATACGATGATATGTAAATCTGCAAAAAACTTTTTACGTGATCCTTGGACCAATGTAATCCAAAGCTCCCTCGAGTCTCGGCATTCTCTTGGCAACAAATTCAGCTTCTTTAGACCTTCCTTCTACCTCAAGTCTAAGCCTTAAATCCTCTAAGCAGTTCAGAGGTAGTTCAATTTGTCTCTCCACTAATTCATAGTAAAGCTCAAATGCTTCTTGAGCTCTGCAGGCTTTACAGAGTGCAGACAGAACAGTGCTGCATATTTCTATACAAACGCTCTGAGAATTCTTTAGGCTAAACAGTAACAAGTCACGTGCTTCCGATAACTTTTTCCCCTGGGAAAGAAACACAATCAATTCTTGCATATTTACCAAATACCCATTATCATAAAGACACCCAAGAATCTCGAATGCCCTCTCCTTCAAACCCGCTTTGAAAAGTATCCTTACAGTATCTGTTGAGAGATTGATATTTTGTCTTATTTTTTTAACCAACATTAACACCACTAGGTCAGCACACTCGAGAGCGCAATTCTGTTTGACAAGCTCCGTAAGGATGCTATGGAAAACAAATGTTCTAGGAAGATGTGAGCTCTTCAGCATTCTCTCCAGAGTATCATAGGCAAGTCTGGGTTTGCCCTCTTGCAGCAGGCCCTCGAGCAGAGACTCATACGTCTCAAAATCAGGCACGAAATTTCTCCTCAACATCCAAACCAAGAGTTCATGTCCATCTTCAGACATGCCCTCGTTGCGATTTCCCATGATCAAAGTCTTGAAAGTCAAAGGATCTTGAACTCCCATTCTCATTAGCTGTCTAAAAACTTTCTCGGCCTTCTTTGTCTTCCCATTCTCGCACAAATATTTGAACATCGGGTTGTATGCTGCAACAACGGGCCTGCATCCAGCATCAGATAACAAAGTTCCTGTCTTGAATAACTCATCAAAGAACTTCTCGGCCATCTCAAAATCTCCTTTCTGGCATAAGCACCGTATCAAGATACTGTATGTAGCTGAATCGGGAGCAGCGTTTAGGATTGACATCTTCTCAAAAGCTTCTAACGCGGCCTTCAAATTCCCATCACTGCAATGCGTGTGGATCAATGTGTTGAATGTACATGTATCAGGAACAAATCTTCCATCCTCTCCAGCTCCCTTGAATAACTCCTTTACCTTATCAAACTTCCGAGCCTCAAGAAGCCCTTGTATAAGAGTGTTATAAGTAACGCTATTCGGTTCTGGGCCCCGATCAACCATCTCTTTGAAAACATTCAAAGCTTCTTCAACTTTTTGCTTCTCACAATACCCTCTGACCAACGTGGTGTATGTAACAACATTAGGACTCAAATCTGAGCCCTTTTTGAGCATACCTTTGACAACATTATGTGCAATTTCTACTTTCCCAGCCCTACACAACCCATCAACGATCGTATTATACGTGATCACATCAGGCTCACACTCATGCTTCTCCATTTCTTTAAAGAACCTAAACCCTTGATCCACCATAGAATTCATACAGCACCCTCTAATCAAAATATTAAAGGTATACAAATCGGGCTTCACACCAAATGTCTTGAGCATTTCATCAAACAGTTCATAGACCATACCAGTTCGACCCCTTTTCATCAAAATTGAGAACAAAGTATTGAATGTAACTACTGATGGGGAAATCCCAATTACCTTCATAGAGGTGAAAAGCTTCAATGATTCCTGAAAGAGCCCAGCTACGGCGTAATTCTTGATCAGGCTGTTAAAGAACCTGGCTTCGAGCGGCACCGCGCCATTAGACCTCTTGGGGATGGAGAAGAGGAAGTTCCGGGCGGTGTTGAGGTTCCTCTCGGTTCCGAGGAGCTCCAGCATGCGGAAATAGCATTGGGATGTGAGTGCGAAGCCTTTTTGCTCGGCCCAGACGAAGAATTTCAAGGCTTTCCGGGGAGTTTTGAGGAGGCGGATGGAGTGGATAACGGTGGTCTCGGAGAGAGAGGGGCCGGCGAGAGCGGAGAGAGAGGACTCGGTTTGAGGTGACCATGGCTGGAACTTAATGAGCTCAGCCAAGGCTAGAGCCTTCTTTCGAGAGCTCAATTTGGGCTTCGCAGCGTCAGGGAGTTTCGCGTCATTGTCGTCTGCGGCAGCGGCAGCGGCGGCGTTGGAAGGACCGGAAAAGAGCTGGGAGGCGGCGGCGGCGGTGGAAGGAGGGGAAAAGAGCTGGCTGAGAGTGGAAAGGCAATGTGAAAATGGGTGTTGGGCGTTTCTGCCATTGGCGTTTGGGTTGAAAAGCAGATGCCTTTGAAGATTGGGAATCATCGCCATATCCCCCGCAAATCTGCTATTCATCTTTTCTTGGAATGATACATCGACAGTGAAACCGCGACGAGAACGGAACCTCAATCACCCCTCTACTACGGAGTTTCATAAAAATGTCTTGTAAATTGTAAAGCTTGTTTCTTCATATTCTTTTTTTCTTTTTATTATCTAACTTTTCAATCATTCTTCTACTAAATATTGTGGCAAACCTTTTAAATATATATATATATATATATATATATATATATATATATATATATATATATATATATATATATATATTGTGGCAAATTATTACGTGAAGGTGAACCTGATTAAAAAACACATAATTTATATACTGAATGTTCACAATTCAAATTCTGAACATTCAGTTAGGCTTGTGCACGGGTCGGGTTCGGACGGTTCGGGTGTCGGACTAGTCCGCCCGATCGGATTTCGGTTTTCTAAAACAATATCCTATCCGACTTTTTTTTATACTATACTCCATTCGGGTTTAGTGGGTTCGGATTTCGGACGGTTCGGGTGTTAGTTCGGGTTTATTCGGATTTCATATTCAACAATTTTTTTTTAAAAAAAAAAACTAAGTAAAATTTCATATCATGGAATTCAAACTGTCAAACAGTCAAAGTACTTAGTTAGTTAGTTACAACTACTTAGTACTTACAAATGACAAAAATACAAAATGCTTTACAAAAATACAAAGTCATTGAATCATCAATCTGATGACAAAAAATAAAAAACATCAGCAATTGAGCATTCAGCAAACTGCACCAATCAACATCTTCCTGTGAACAAAAATACCATAATCATAATGTATTGTCTATTCAGCCTTCAGCAGTTCAGCTTTCATGATCTTCCTGTACAAGTTAAATATAACATATTAAATACTTTGGGGATTGGGGCTGTTGGGCAGAAAAATTTAACTATGGAAGGCTCAGATTGCTATGTTTTCATGTCAAAGTAAGATTGGGGGCAAATTGCTACTTTTAGTATTGGAATGCAATTATGCAAACCAAAACTAATGAGCAACATACCAACCCAAAACCATTTCAGACAATGGTGGAAGCATCATCATAGCCAAATCAGTAAAGACTAAAGAGAAATAACATACTGATTACTGAGCACTTGAGAATAAGGGACTAAGGTAGAGTGACTGTTATTACCAGATGAGAATCATGAGATGACATTCTCACATTCATATAGGCAGTAGGCTGATACTGCTGGGGTCATACACTCATACTTATCATAGGCAGCAACAAATCCAACAATTGAATTGTTAGTTAGTTACCAAGCCATTAATCCATAGGCAACAACAAATCCAACAAATCCAACAATTGAAAATAAAATCAAAATTAAGTGTAAATAAAACATTACAGAAATGGTAGGAAGGGGAAAACCAGCAGCACCAGATCCTGTGGTACCAAATCGACTTACTCCAGTAGCCAAGTCTGCAAAGTGCAAAGTGCAAAGTTAGAATTTGAATTTGAAATGCAAAGTTAAAGATTTAAAAACAGAATGAAACATTTAAAGAAATTACCTTGTTCAAGCTTTTCAACATCATCAATATTTTCCTCAACCTTAACTGGTTGATTTGGTAACCTCATCCAGTCTTGTGCACATACTAAGGCCTCCACAATTTTAGGAGTTAAAGAACTCCTAAATGCATCTAATACCCTCCCACTAGTGCTAAATGTACTTTCTGAGGCAACCGTGGAAATAGGAACTGCTAGGATATCCCTTGCCATTTTGGAGAGAGTAGGAAACCTCTCACTATTTAGCTTCCACCACCTAAGGATATCAAAGTCAGGAGTGTCCTCCACAATTTTTTCACTTAAATAAACCTGAAGTTCTGTTTCTTTATAGCTTCCACTAGCCTCAAATTTTTGCCTTTTTAGTTTGTTCTTTAACATATTTTGAGGTCTACCAATTGTGGCATGAGACTGGACAGGAGGCACATCTGGTTGGCTACCAGAAGATGAATCAGAAGATGATTGTTGCACATTGACAGAGTAGGTTGCTGCATAGTCACCAAACAATTCTACCATGGCAGCTTGGACATTCTCTAAACACTTCTTCCCATTCTCTTTACCATACAGTTCATCAAACTGGTATGGCATATATTCCAACTTATCTCTTGGGTCCAAGATATTTGCAAAGAAGATCAAGGAATTCATTTTTTCAGGATCTCCCCAATACTTTTCAAATTTACTTTTCATTTGGGATCCCATAACCTAAGAAAACAATGAATTAAATACAAACAGCCATACACAAATTCATAGATAATCAGATTAACCACTGAAAATGATAAAAATATAAAATCATTACCTCTGTAGCACTACCAGCAACAATCATGCTACTCAACATGCAACTCAAATCAGATATCTCACTGAAGAAACTGTTAGGGGTGACATATAGAGAACTAGAGATTCTAATTGTCATCTCATAAAACCCTTTCAACAGAACTACCAAGCATTCAACAGAAGTCCAGTCAAGAAAAGAAGGGACAGAATCACCCAGATCAGCAACAAATGAGGGCTCACTCAATGAATATGCATCAAACACAGCCTTGTATTGTATGGCAGTGCTAAGCATCATGTTGGTGTTGTTCCATCTTGTTGGAACATCTAGTTGTAAAGAACTTTTGGCTTCCACCCCAAGCAGTTCTGCAAGATCTCTGAATTTTTTGAGTCTTGTAGGTGAGTTCCTCATCCATCTAACAAAATCCCTCACCTTCTTAACAGAACTATCTGCAAACCTTAACCCATCCTGGACCACCAAGTTTAAAATGTGGGCTATGCACCTCATGTGAATGTACTTACTCCTAACAGTGGTTGCACCCCATGGCAACAATTTGGACTTAAAAAAAACTCATAGCAGTATCATTGGAAGAAGCATTATCAACAGTGACAGAAAAAACATCCCTAATCCCCCAGTCAATCAAACAACTCTCCAATGCCTTGGCTATATGCTCACCCTTGTGAGAAGAAATAGGGACAAAGGATATGATTTTCTTATTCAGCTTCCACTGATCATCTATGAAATGGGCTGTAATGCACATATAATTGATCCTCTGCACAGAGGTCCAGGTATCAGTAGTCAAACTGACCCTTTCAGTGTTAAGTCTAAACAGCTTCTTAAGGTTTAATCTTTCATCAAGGTAAATTTGGTAAATGTCCCTTGAAATTGTCCACCTAGAAGGTATACAAAATCTAGGGCAAGCAACCAAAATAAACCTTTTAAAACCTTGCCCCTCCACAAACCTAAATGGAAGCTCATCAATAATTATCATCTCACATAATGCCCTCCTAATGGCTTCCTGATTGAAAACCCAAGTCCCTAACTCCCCAACAACCCCTTTAGAACCCCCACCCCCTTGAGTATCAAATGTTGTCACAGCAGTGAAAGTAAGCAGTGACTGCCTAGTCTCCTTAGAATGTGGATTTTTTAGACAAGCCAACATATGATTTCTTAAAGAGATAGTACCATGCTTTTTACTCTCACAGTGATAGACTTTAGCACAGTATATACATTTCCCCTTTACTACTTTGTTTTCAGAATCATATATCTTTTCAAAATGTTCCCAGACCTTAGATCTAGACTCCACATTATTCCTCTTCTGTGCAGGAACAACAGGATTAACCTCAGGCTGCTGAGGAGCATTTGTCTCAGTGCCTTGGGTTACTCCTCCAGGCCCCTCCTCAGTTGAGGGTGGAAGTCTAGATTGAGTCATTTGAGTGGCACTTTCCATCTACAAAGATGGGTACCAGTTTTAACTTTTTAGTTTGTGTGAGTGTGACATAACACATTAACACTAAAACTACCACATAATAAACAATTAAACATACAAAGATATCCAGAATCAGACACAGTCACACAGTAGTTTGTGTCATCATTTTTCCAGATTTAACAATTAGCAATTAAGGGTCATACATCCATAAACTGATAGACATAATAACATATACAATTATACAAACAAATTCAGATTCAGGAACTCAGTCCAGATCATCATTATCTGGATTTGAGTTAAGGGTTTCCACCAATAAATGGAAATTCCCACACTGGAGATTTCACATTTTAGCCTTTAACTCGGATTGGTAGATTACAACTTTACATGGCATAAAATCCAGATTTTACAAAATCAACACTTAGAAATCAGTTTGTAAAAGGCTTCCACCAACAAATGGCATAATATATGAATATATCACCAAATATTCATCACAGATTCATTGTAGAAAAGACAGAACATAATACATCTCAGTATCTCACATAAATGAAGATATATAAAACTAGGGTTTTCGATTTCACACTGCTTTCTCAAAATATTCACCACATATCATCATAATAATATAATATAACACAAAGTCACAAACATTTTCTTAATATAAACTAGGGTTTACGATTTACTTGATTTCTCCAAAATAATCCCCGGAGAACAAGGGCTTCTAATCACCAGTTCACCACGGCTTCCACCACTTAGACTCCCAGAGACAGAGAGTAAGAGATTAGAGATTAGAGATTGCAACGCTTCGATTCTGAGAACCCTGAGATTAGACAATAGAGATTAAGAGATTAGAGATTTAGAGATTACAGATTAGAGAGTAAGACTGTAAGAGATTAGATATTAGAGAAATAGAGACTAAGATATTAGAGATTAAAATAGAGATTAAGAGATTAGAGATTTAGCTTACGGATTTGTCTCATCAGAGATGAGTCTTGAGAGAACTGAGAGTCTGAGATACTGAGACCACTGAGACTTTGAGAGAATGAGAGTCTGAGAGAGTTGAGAGTCTGAGAGAGTGAGACTGTGAGAGTCTGAGAGAGTGAGAGTCTGAGAGAGTTGAGAGGCGAGAGATGAGATCTCAGATCTCAAACCCTAGGTCAGCTGCGCAGATGAGATAATGAAGACTAAGTGGTGGAAGACATGTATATATACATTGATGGAACGACGCCGTTTAATACAAAGCCTTAGGGAACCCTAGGGTAGTTTGGGTATTCGGACGGGTCGGTTGGCAAAATTGGATACCCCACCCGAACCATCTAAACCGACGCCGTATTGCATAGCGGATCGGGTAAGGAGAGTCGGGTTCGGGTAATGCCGGGTTGGTCTCTCTCGGTCGTCGGGTCGGTCGGTTTGATCGGGTGGGTCGGGTTGTGCACA